TTTCCCCAACCCCTACCAAACATGTGGTATGATATTGCTTCTGTGTTTATTTAATCCTTCTTTGCAACTACATAAAGATTTTGATTTGTTAAAAGGATTGCTTAGCAATATACGTTTGATTTTCTCACTTAACATTTCTACAAGACGAGAAAAGACATAAGACTCACCAATGTAGTAATCAATATCAATCTGCTGGAACACCAGTTTGTCCGACGCAGGGTTCAGTTTTGGAGGAGGAGGACGACTCCACTTTACACTTGTCAGCTGGGTGTCAGGTCCCTGGGTAATAAATCAGTAAGTATAAAATATTACAAAAGAACAAAAGTAGTTGGTTTCATAAAGTTTCTTCATAAAGCTGTGACTTAGGAATTTTTAGCATTTTGTTTTAGAGCAAGACTTTCCTACTGAGTTTGGAAAATGCTAAACAAAACTAGAGTAAAGAGCACATATATTCAATTAGCATACTTTGTTGCAAATTTTACAGAACAAATAAGCCTACCGCTAGGCCTTCTTATAGAAGGGGGTCAGTCAATGTACAGTACAAGAAGTGGTAACAAACAAATAAGTCATAGCCTTTTTTTCGTTCAAATGTTTTCTGACAATAGATCTTTGATCAGGCGTCACATGCCCCTTTCACATTCGAAAGTAATTTTTTTACCTAATTCACAAAAAAAATACATTTCTACTACTTTTAAAAGTAGGTGGTTACTCTACTCACAAGTTAATAGTTATTTCTAGGCCTAGGCCTATTCCAAGTGTTATTAGGGTATTCCATACCCCATTTCTCAAATCCCCAAGTAGGATGGTGTCCTGATTGTACCCCCTTAAATTTATGGTTCAAGTGACACCTCTACCTATACAATGTCATTTGAGTGAATTTGTACTTGTAAGATTACAGACTTAGAAGTTTAATCAGTTCTCGGCACGCCAAAGTGGAAAAATGTGCTGTACAAATATGGGGGGTTCTGGTACATTTATTATAGGCCTACAACCAACTGTTCGTTATTCAAGTTTCTTGACTCACTTAAGTTAAGAATCACTTCTATGTTGTGATACCATGAATCTTAAGACCTTGTAAATATTCACAGCTTGATTATTTTGGAAACTTAGGGATCACTTTCCCTTCCTTTGCACAGTGTAACCACAAACACTCGATAGCCTGCTGTATGAAAATGTGATTATTAAATCACAAGAAAAGGTGAGTTACTTAATCAAAAAATTTATTTTTATTTATCTAATAAACAACATCAAATTGATGTTAGGCCTAATACATTATAAGTACCTGTTCAGATGATTCCTGAGGTTCACTTTCAGCTCCCTCCAATTCCATCTGATCCATGATAGCAAGTTCTTCCTCAAAACCAGATGGAAAATCTTCATCATCATCGACATTAGCTCTAAAATTACCAATGGAAATAGGTTAAAATCAACCTATCAATGTTTTATTAGATCACAATTACAAAAGCACCATAAATAGGCTTACAAGATGTAAGCTTATTTAGCTGATGATGTACCTAGCTATTTATTGTTTAGGTGAGTTGCTATCGTAATGGTTAGCGTCTCAGTCGGTACGGGAGGGACGGGTTTGATTCCCAGCACATCCACTAAACTTTAATTGGTTTGGACGCTTTCCCTTAAAACCATTTAGGCCTAAACTAAAACAAACGTTGACTCAAAACAAAAATACCACTGGCGTGGTAAAAAAAAAAAAAAAAACAGAATCAGTCTGTGCTTCAAGTTTGAGGACCTGCAAGAGTCAAAAAGGGCAGACAAAGTTTGAGTGGACATTAAACTAGGTGTACTGTTGATAGTATAGTGTATTGTTCGGTTTTGTTGTGTGATACCTGATTAGGACAGGCTCACAGTTTGGGTGTGATGTGCCATGGGCCTGAAATATAAGTACTTGCGCCTCTCAACACCTACCTTTTGTGGGAAATTTTTCTTTTCCTGGTGCCCCCAACAATAGACAAAAAGAAAAAAATATAGATTGTCAGTGGTGCTGCGATTACCATAGGTTATAGCACACACTTCTGGGACCCCTGTGTAGTTACGTGTAGCACACTGTAACTACATGGCGCTCCCAGTGGTGTGCGCCATAACCTATGGTAACCGCAGTATGGCTGACAGTCTACATTTAATTCCTTTTGTCTATGCACCAACAAACCTATTTAACCTCTTACACCCCAGAGCCCGAGCCCACCGGGACCATTTAAGGGGCCCTGAACTTGGAGCGTTCATTATGAATTGTAAATAAAGTACATTTATATAGGCTAGCCTACCCCTCCCTCTCTCCTCCTTCCAACATATGAGTTTCTTTTGCCCTTCATTCCCTCCAAAAGTGTTTCGCATAGTTTCTGAATGTGTGAAAATTTAACATAACCTAAAGGTGATGCAAACAAGAATGAGATAACAGTTAAACTTCTAACGGCTGCACTTTACTTGACGTCCTACACTCATTCGATTGTTTTTTCGATTTGATATTTTCATTCGATTGTTTCGTTCGATATATCGTTTGGTTAGTTAGGTTAGGTTAACCTTACCTAACTAACCAAACGATATATCGAATGAAGCAATCGATTAGTCGATATATCGATCGATATTTTCATTCGAATGAGTGTAGGACGTCAAGTAAAGTGCAGCCCTTCTAACAGCTAGGCTACACATAGGCTAGGCCCTACCTAGGTCCAGGCCTACAGGCAGTTTCATTTTAGCCTACTAACCTAACTTACCTGAATTTCTTTTGGTTGGGTGTGTTCTTCTTGGTTTGTGGGCCATTTTTTCTCTTCAAATCCATTTTATTAAGATAAAATACAACTTGGGAATATTATACTGGTGTTACGCTTAAAATTCTAAAACACCTGATGGCTTGCATAGGCTGTGGCGCAGTAGGTAATAAACACAAAAGTATAAATAGGCCTAAAGTTAACAAAAAACATTTCACTTCAACATAAACTTTATTAAGATTGTGACAAACATTCTCAGTAAACCCCTAAATAAGACGGATTAAGATTAAAGCTAAGCTAAAAACAAAACCTAACCCTGAATTACTTAGTTCACCTTCCTATTACTATTCTTCTATTCAGAGTTTTGACGATTTCGCGGGAAGCGAAGGAAAATAAATATTCTAGATAGTCTAGGGGCGAACATGAAATGCGCAAAGACTAGTAAGTACCACCGTTGGTTAGTTAATGAAATGAATGGTAAAGTACTAATTTAAGCTATTAAATAAATAAACAAATAAATAAGTACTGTACCATTCATTTCTTACTTTTGTAAAATTTGTAGCCCCTGAACTGCGTATTATAGACTACCGTACTAAACTATTACGTACCTCGTCTTGCAGTCCAAATATATTTGAACTGCAAAAGACGAGGTACGTGTTTAATCTTTACTTTTCTTATGGCCACCCGTGGCAGACCAGACATTGGTATGCCTTGAGTCACGGCCACGTCTAACTACAGGCCGCGGCCTGGTAGAATTGGCAACGTCGCCAAGTGGTGTTGTTTAGTGACAGACGTCCCATAAGATAACATGGCAGACAGGTGACATCAGCTCATTAATTTCTAATTTGCACTTAAATTTAAAGTTAATTTAATTAATTCAATTTAAATTTAAATCTATAAACATAAATTTGTTAAAATATTGAAAATAAAACATACATAATTGAAAACCGAAACAATATGAATTAAAAATCTATATCTGTAGATTTTAAGCGGGGTCAATTGTCATAGTCCAGTAACCAATCTTTCGTAAATACACAAATATCATTAGCTGCTTCCAAACAAAACAGCTGTTACAACACCACTTGCGACGTTGCCACTTCGAAAGCCACGGCCTGGAGTTAAAGGTGGCCGTGCTTGAGTGGTGCTGGGGCTATAGAATCGAATACAGTTTATAGTATTCTCTATACCCTGGTAATGTTGAGTAACCGCTAAGCAAAAAGCACACAAGTTGAAACCCCCATGTTTTTGTATTTACATATGTAATGCAGGCATTAAATCATTAAAAATAGACAAGCTGCTATACCCGTGCTTTGCAACGGGAAGAAAATGTGACCTAGAGAGCTATTCAAGTGGTGCTGATGTGTGTTTTAAAATACAGCAACTCTATGATTTAGTTTGAAAATATAAACTGATTTAAAAGTGTAATCCTACTTTCAAACCCCTATTTTTGATGTTAATCGATCCAAAAGAACATACCTCCATACGGACACATACCAGCATCAATTTCTTCATATTGCTGCTTCATGAATGACATGTTTTACCATAATTCTTCAATTTTAGTCAAGCCTCTTTCCATGTAGCTTAATATATAAATTACAAAATGAAAACTTTGAGCAATACTTAAACAAAACTTATACAACCTTTCTTTAAAACCAAACATAACCCTCCTCAATCTTCCTTTTTCTAGTAAATAAACAAACACCAATTTATTGCACTGACCAGCTGTTTCATGAACTAAATTGAATTATATCATTTGAACTTTGGAAATATGCCTGGGGTAGCCCTTTGGAAATTAGCCTGTGGGGCAGAGCCCTTAGGAAATTCGTCCATATCAATACTTTTCGGCAAATCTACACACTCTAAGCTTCATTTTGATGTGCTATATGCCTATATTTTTATTTGGTAAATGACCTTAACCGTTTACATAAAATTTGATTGTATCACTTTAATAATATAATAGATTTTAATTATTTTTAGTACATTGCTTGATAGTCATATGACCTTAACTTAATTTCTCATCGCATAGCAAACGTCTGATGGTTTAATTGTTTTTCTCAATTACAGTATATTATCATAGATAAAAACATACCGGTACTCCCTTTGATGTAATGAAACGCAAAATCCATAGATTTCTTAAGTATATCAAGAGATTAGTGATAGCTCCTATAATCAATACCTCTAATATACTTTTGGGAGATTGGTTTGTGAACTCAACTCTATGGCGAAGAGTTTTTCGGTTCCACGAATTAGCAGACAGTTTTGTGTTTTTGTGTTGATCTGTCATTCCACCTCCACGACCACGACATCGTTAGGCAAGTATAGAAATTCACTGTCACAAATATCCTATATTAAATTCATTGTTGGTAAGGGTTATAAAAAAATCATGTTTTTTGTAAAATTTTGTGATGCAATTCAAAATAAAAGTGACAGCTTAATAACCCTTTCTTGTTATCAAATTCATATGTAGCCAATAGACCCTAGGAATAATTGAACTCAATTAGCCTAGGCCTAACACCTTATATAAAATAACAATGAATATAATTTGGATTAAACATACCACCCCCCCCCCCCCCACACACCCCAATTGGGGTATAGTTTCTTAACTGGGCTATGCTAATATCGATTGAAACTATCGATTCGATTAGTAAACCTTCATGCGATTTTTTCACCATCAGCAAGTTTGGTTGGTTAGGTTAGGTTATGATAGTTTAATTTGATAATAAATATATTTAAAAATATCGATTATTAATCAATATTTTCAATTCGATAGTTTCAATCGATATTAGCATCGCCCAGTTAAGAAACTGTACACCCCCCCCAATTGTGCATATTTGTTTAACCTAGCTAAAACCTATCCAAGACAATTAATATTTAGTTTACATTTTTTCTGTCTTTTCAGGAAACCCATATTTAAACAGGGTATACTCAGAAAATATTTTGGAACAATCCAAACAACAGACTAAACCGAAACATCAAGCACTATGGCTGCTAAGGTTAGTGTCAATGCTACAACATATTTGGCATGCTTAACGTTTAGATATGTTTACACTGTACAACTCGTTTTACAATTTTTTTAAACAAATAAATATAACTTTTATTTTTAAACTTGTTTTAATCCAAACAAAAATTTTTCAAGTATAAATTTTCCTTGATATTTCCAACGCAGGACGAGAAAGCGGCAACCTGTTGTAAAAGACAATTTTTGGTCATAAAACACGCTTGTTGCACCTCTTCTTGCTTGATTAATATTTTTTATTTTAACCTATTCTTAATCATTTTCATATCTACCCTAGTTACCAATTAATTAACTTAGGTACCGTACCTGAGTGAAAATTTAAAAACGTACGTTTTCATGTCCCTGACCTTTTACTTCGTAGATACTGGATTTGTAGTTTATTATTATGTGTTTTAATATTTTTTGGGACGGGGGCAACATGTTACACACATTTATTTGGTTTTAAATAGGTTCTAGGTATTTTTTTCGTATTTTTAAAGTCTCGAAATTCACGACCATGACGTGTCCCTAGGGTACATTTTCCAACTTTCACGCTGTTTTTAGACTAATTATTCATGCCGAAATATATAAAGCCATATTTTTATGTCATCAATGGTTATTAAACTTACCAAAAAGGAGCATATTATAATTTTATTGTCATTACAAACTGACTACCATGACAAAATAAGTCTGTCCCTCGATTTGGCGTCACGACCATTTGGGAAACTTTGGAGCACGACAGTGGCAAGCCTGGTGTCGATGGAGTCAGTTGGTTTTAGAGACTAGTTCGGGGTGTACGTCAGGATTGTAGTACCGGTCGTTTCGAGTTGAAAGGAGGAATTACAAGATTAATAAAGGAAAGATTGTGTTTTTTGTAATTTTGGTGTGTCCATGACCGTACGTAGTCATTCGATGAAGTAGACATGGTGTTAATTTTTGTTTATAAGATATTTCAATTGCTAGATTAACCTAGAAGTCCACTTTGTATCCTCGAACATGAGGTGCAGGGCTACCGCCAGAACAGAGCCAAATAACTCGTAATTTCACGACCAAAGTTTCACGACCATCGCGGGTTTTTTCACGACCAATCCAGCCTTATGGATTATAGTGTGTTTGGTCGTGACAATAACTTTAATATAATTGTAAATTGAACAGCTTAGTGCAATTGAAACACATATTTTTATTATATCTAACAGGATAATTGAAGGATTGTTTGGAAAGATTTAGATTATTTCAGAAAATTCACGACCGTACCGCTTGTCCCTGGCCATCACGTTTATGATTTCTATCATAAAAATTTCAAAAATTAAAATATCGTCAAATTTTAATGTTTTATACACAAAAGAAGCACACCTCTATACAAACATAACGATTTTTCGGGTCTCAGGTAAGTTTTTTCGTAGTTATACAAACTTAATAAGATTTTATTGGCTTTTTTTCAATTTTTTGAGTTTTTTGATTTTTTTCTAGAAAGACCAAATATACCAAAAGCTCAGTGACCTTTTTATTGTATAATGGTCATAAAAGTAAATTAGTTTATAGCAAAACATAGTTATAAAAATAATATTAACTATTTTTAATATGCATTTAAACGTCCGTTAAGGTCGTGACAGGATTTTGTGTTTTTCCACTAAAGATGCTCTTTTAAAAAGAAACTAGGCTACCAAACATATTGCGTTACCATGGACATTTTATGAAACTTCAAATGTTAATGAAATACAAAAAATAATAAAAGTTTTGAAAAAAGGGGAAAAAAATTTGCAAAGTGCTTTTCCTGAAAACGTACGTTTTTAAATTTTCACTCACCTATATTGTAACTGGTTGTACAAAAAAAGTTAATAAAACTAGTTGTATAGTGAAAACGTGGCTTTTGAGTAGCCTACAATGCCGATTAATTTCTTGTCACCATGCTGTTATCATACTCAAGAATAATTTGTCTTAGGTAGGCCTATAAAATAGTATCCTAGTTGCAGGAAACTCCCTCTTGACCCCCATCTTGGCTCCGTTTTTTTTGGACTCCCAACTGAGTCTACACAGAAGGTCTATAGTCCTCGCCACCCTAAGTTGAGGCAGCCCAAGGCCGCACGCCGTATATCTAGTGCGGCCTTGGGCTGCCTCAAGTTAGGACTAATATAGGTGGGAAATGCTTTGACAATCTGGTACAAAAGAGCCAAGTTAAAATAATGGTGGTTGTCTATTCAGCAATCAATCCATGTTAAAGACTCTGATTTATCTTTTAGCATAAATTTGTTCCTCATTTCTGTGCTTAAGGCCTAAATATTATTCTTGAACGATAATCTCATTTAGTAATATAATTAAAACTAAATGCTTACCTGTCATGTGTTCTTTTAAAGCCGGTTCCAGACATGCTCCATTTGCAAAGCACGAAATATTTTACGTTCAACGATCTAGTTTTCTTGCAATTCGCCGATTAACGAGTAGGTGTCTACACATATGCGTTGTTTTACGAGCAACTGTTCGTTTTGGGAATAGCAAAAATATTTGTTCACTTTGATGTGTGCAAAAACACCGATAATGAACAGGAAAACACAAGCACGAGCATTTGCTACTTGCCAAATAGACCAACACGTATCCACACTACTCGCGATTCGGCGAGTCGCTGCTCGGTGCTTGGCGAATGGTGCATGTCTGGAGCCGGGTTTAGATATAATTCATGTTTTAACTTCTGAGGGTTCAACCAAGGGTCCCCTTTTAACACCTAAAATATGAACTATGAGTACAAATAACTCAATTCCACTCTACTACTAACAAGTCTGAATTAACTTATTAAATTGAAAAACATGCACACATTCAATGAAATAATTCAGAAACTTTGTAGTAGGCCTAATCCTATTGTCAGGGTAGAGTAGGAAAATGATGGAGCTACACATTTGGATGAACCTTTCAAAACCTAATTCAAAATGGGAAAACGACAGAAATGGCATGCATTCACCATATTGCCCAAGCCCAAGTGTACACTGTACAGCAATACCATTACAAGAACCCACTTCCTCAGCAAGAACAAAATGGAAAGGTACATAAGATAACAGGTGATTTTTCCAAACACTTCAAAAGAGCAAAAGCTATAAAAGTGAAGTTATTTAAGAAACTTTTGTATGTTTCCTCTCAGTCTAAAAACTAAAAGGTCTTGTTTCTAAAAATAATTACCTATATAAATTATAGGCCTACTTTGTTAGACAAAGTTACAAAACAAAAGATGGCCAATTTTGAACTATTACATTTACTAGAATGAAACAATATGAAAGTTAGCAATAATTCACATGGTTTTACTTTACCTCGATAATTTTACTTTTTCAGACCCACCTGTACAAAGTAGAGATGACCTGTGAAGGATGCTCCGGAGCCGTGGAAAGAGTTCTAAACAAATTGAAAGGTAAGCTTGCAAACCTCTTTAATTTCAAACTTTCAAACCAGTAAATTATGTATTGACACATTTAATTCAGTGTATAAAATAAGGTAGGACAATAAAAGTCAACCTTTAATGTAGTAGACGAATTGTTCTTGAGGTGATCTCTGCTCTTTCTAAAAAAAAAAAAAATGACTCAGGCCACATACTTTTGGTATCATATAAGTTAACAGAAAATTTCTTAGTTGTTTAAATAAAAAAAAAAGTTAAAATGGGTGAACCTCTAGTTTTAAATTTGGATTTTTATTAAGTAAAAGTTGTATTAGAATAAAATTTGTATTCTAGTAAGCTTTATATGAAATTTACACTGTCAAATGAATCTGATTCATGGGCAAAAAAAATGTATTGATAAATGAGATGATAGAATATATGTACATTCATTAAAAACTCAATTGTTTGTGTTAGCATACCTTTAAAACCTTAAGTTCAACATGGGCTCACTAATTAGTAGGGGAAGCAGATCGATCCTTTATTTGAATGTAAATTATTAATGTATCCCCTCATTTAAATGAAATATTGCCTCAAATTTTATTTAATTCCTTAAACTCTATTGTATAACATTTTATTTTCCTAGGTCTATTTATATTTTATTTACCAGATAAATTAAAGCCTATTTATATTTTTTTTGCATAAATAAAGGTTAAGAAATAAAATGAAAATGTTTTGTTAAGTTTATGGTATAAAGTACTTCTCATATCAGCAATGTAACAGAGTGCACCACTTATCTAAGTGCTTGTCATTTCATTAAAGGCTATTGACCTCAGAGGAGGATAAATATATTTTATTGACACAACAGCTTACTTTTATGTTCTGATGTTTGTTTAACAATAATCCTAGATTTAAGTTATAATTTATTCAAAAGTCTGAAACACTAAAAACAAGTACTTTGTTATATGCTGTTGAGTTGTTAAATTTAATTAGTACTCATAAATTATGTTTACCAAGCTTGAGCAGATAAAACACCTATTCCTTTCAGAAAAAATTGTCTTATCACAGTGACCTTTTGTTGTAAAGAATTATCTATAGGCTTGTGTTTTATTCAAAATATGGAAGATTCCTAACCATGTCCATGAACTTGTTGCTCAATAAATTAAAAGAGTGTGTATCATTGACTATATTACGGTATGTACCGTACTATTTATTTTTTTTTTTGACTTGTCGCTTAATGTTTAAAAAAAAATTACTCTTCTATTGTTGCTGCTAATTTCGGTAGATAAATAAATAAATTAGTTGTCTTCTGTTTATTCATTTTTTGGAACCCAAGCCAAATCCATGATTTAAAACAAGTCTTCCCTTATTTTAGGGGCCAGCAGGGTTCCTGTTACATTTTGCATTCAGGACTGCAATTTAAAACAGTTTTGTTAAAATCTGTTTCTCGTAGTAAAGATTGTGTAAATTAGAATGGATAACAGCAATGCTCCCAACAACACTGAGAGTAACACCAGTACCTAGTTGGATTAAATTCATCCAGTGACTATCGGTTATCGAGATGACTGTACAAAATGACAAAAGCGACTGTCGTGGAAAATGTCCTTGTCCCCATCCCGCTCTCCATTCTAAGTGACACAATCTATACTATTCCTCCTGGGTACTTTTACTGCCCCTTAAATTCATAGTGCCAATGGTGATCTCTTTTTTCCCTCTTAGGCAAAGGAGTAGAAGACATAAACATAGATTTGAAAGGCCAACAAGTATCCGTAACAGCTACAATGGATTCTGAAGAATTGCTGACGATCATCAAAAAGACTGGCAAAACCACTACTTACATCGGAGAGAAAAGTTAGAAAGGACGTCTTACTGGAGGCTTTGCATGAATGGCTTAGAGTTGTGATTCCACCTTTACATAATACGAGAGCTTTATAATTTTCATAGTTAGAATTTATACATTTACTGATAAGTGTAGATTAGTTTGGTAAGTAATTTTAATAGATTTTTTACAGAATTTTACTGTGATGGCGATTTATTCAAGGTGTTTTTCTTCCAAAATGTCGCTTGTTATTTATACAAATTTTAAAATTAGTTCTCACTTAGAATATTTGAATGTTTCAATGTTTTATTACCAGCTATAAACTTAAGAAAATGTAGGTTTATTTTAAAAGGGTTATTAAACTCTAGTTTAGTGTCCTTAAAATTTTTCATTACAATGCTTCCAACCTTTTTCTGTAGGCAAGGTTTATTAAGTGTGCATAGCAGGGTTTATATAACTGAATTATTTTGTCAATGTTTGTTGTTGTAGAGAAAATGGCTTGTTAATCTTTATTTATTTTACTGGGTTTGTAAGTTGTTTTTTTTATTACCAATGGTTTTATTACCAATGGTATATTATATTTTTTTTTTTTTTTTTTTTTGTTAATCCTTATGGGTCATCGTTTTTATAGGTAGGCTAACATTTATATAAGCTAATCGTTAATTATAATGAAATCTTGCGAAAATAGCCTATATTTAAAACATTTTTTTTTGTTAATCCTTGTTAAATTTGCCGCTTAATTAAAAAACCTATCCTGTATTAATATAAGAAGTTAGAGGTACCTTCTTGATTTTGAAATAGGCTGAATAGATAAAACTGATGACTCATATGAAACAATATATTTCCTTATAATGTTCATTTAATAGCATATTCTATTTGTTTAAAGCAATGCTTATGTGAAAGAACAATTTGACCTCTTTATGAGTCAAAACTGTTGTTCATGTACCCTTAAAATGTGATTTAATGCGTAAGGTTAATCTTACAATGTTACTGATAAGAGCATAACATAATATAATTACGATATTAACAATTTCTTAAACCACTGTTAGGGCCATCGAGTACATATTTATTTCCATGATTTTTGGACATTTTAGAATGGGAAATATTCCACTTAGATTTTCATATAAAGTTACAACATAATATTCAAGCAGCTATAAGAATTACCTACGACTGCTGAAATTATTTACATAATAGTTTGGATGATTATTAACAACACAAACATTTATCTAATCTTAAGCTGGTGTTGGAAGGATTGTATTTTTTGTTAATGCTTTATATGATATTTATGGCGTGCTAAGTTTTTTTTGTTCCTAAAAATGCCCTCTTTAAGCCAATGTATCTGTCCATAATTCTAAATATATTTTATTAGGAAATGTAGCGTTAACACAGGAATATTGGTTAATGGTTATAAATGTTTATGATGTTAGTTTAATTTGTGTAAGTTTCCATTATTATACTTGCATGGTAAACAAGTTAATTGCTGTACTGGAAGGTTTCATGTTCTAGGGTTTTATTGTGAACTGTTCTAGTATTCTACCTCCTAACAGCAGCGTTAGCGCTCAAAAGTTAGAGTTGTGGCTATTAGGTAATAATAAAGACTGTACTCATTGTTTCAATTAATTGTGATAAATAATAAACAATTTTCCTAATTATTCTGGTGTTTTATTTAACATTGTACACATATTTTTTTACAAGCGAGACTTGCTTAAGTGAGGATAATATATTTTTTAATGAACACTTAGCTAATGTTTTGAACAGGTTTGAACTATAAGAAAAAACAACATTGCTGAGGAAATAATTTAATTGAGGTTAAAAACTGACATCATTTTCAATGGAGGAACAATATTGAACTAAATTATTGATCACAAACATGGAACCAGATTGGCACCAATACTACCTTTAACTAAGACTACACTAACTTAAATCAAATAAGAACCGTTTATTCAAATGCATAGCTTGACTTAAAAAAAATAATAAAAAAAAACAAGGGTAAAACCCAAATAAAAGTAATAATTTGTAACCTCTTGTTTGGGATCAAGGGCAATGTTTGGCAAAGATATTATTTAACAATTTACAGTTAAATTGAAAGTCCACGGGTTGACTGGTATAACTAGGAGTGGGCCAATCCTAAATTCCTTAAGGATTCCTTAAAACCTTTTTATACCAGTAATTTTGAGGGATTGTCAATTCCTAATACTTTATGGTGTCTTATTTCTGGGGAAATTGTTCCAGAGAACTTCTACAAAGACGATTATGTCAAGAGACTGTTGTAGTTATTTTAAATCACTTGGTTTTCAATGTTTTCATTAAATTTTCTCTTGAATAAGAATCACAGCATTTTAAATTTATAAGTCAGCATTTTTGTATCGGAAAAGAAACTGAACTATTTTAGAACACTACATATTTTCCATAACTTATAGAATAAGTATTTACCCTGTAAAGTGGAAATTACTGGTTCTAGTCTCATATTTTTAAGAGGATTGCTATTTATTTGTGAATTGTAATTGTAGCTATCAGGTACTTGAATGGTTCACAAAACGGTGTAATTCCTTAACACTTTATCTTAGATACATCTCAAAACCAGGAATTGAAATTAATAAAATAGCATTTTCTATATTAATTTTGTAAACCGAACCAAATGAATTTTGAATTAGCATCCAGTGAACACAAATATATTGTTTTCTACATTCCTGTCAGCCTGTGAATGCAATGGTAATTTAATAATTATCCATGTATACATTGATAAATGTACAAAAATATAATAGGATAAATCTCTAGATAAAACCGTTTTGGTGGTAAGAAAGGGGATTTATTCTAAATATTTACGAACAATTATTGTTTGTGTGCACCATAATATTATTTCTACAGTCTAACTAAAAGATTTTCAGTACTGTGCTATGTTAATGCAATTTATTTTGTAGAGTAGGATTCCTCTACTAAGGTTAACAAAATCATGTTTAAACATGAAATATCATACACATTAATTAACAATTAAGAAATAGTATATTTCATCACTAGGGCATAAAGTGACTCTTTTTGACTCCAGCTCAAGTTTCACAAAGTCTTGGTCGGAAAATGAGTGAGCGTTGAAAAGAACCGGTGCCTGTATGATTAACTATATTTTTGTCATATTGCAATATTATTTAACAAACTAAGTTAGAAAACTAAAATACTTTTCATGTAAAGATAACATCTCAAAACGACTTCTGTGTTTTCAATTTTGCTAATGCAAACAAGCAGCTAATTGGTAAATGATTCAATCATTTAGTCTATTATGATTGAATTCTTTGATCAAAATTATCAAGCAAGATGAAAATTCAAATAACAATCCATGAATATGACACTATTGTATTTCTTAAAGAAATCTCAATAAAGAAAATTGATTGATTGATTGATAGTGTAAATTATACTACAGTAGAGAGTCAAAAATCCGAACCAATTGGGACCGTAGGTAGTTCAGATTACCGATTTGTTCGGATTTTCAAACATAGACTAGAAATGCCTAATAGACACATACTTAGGCCTAGTGATGTAAAATTCCCGGGAATTTAATATCGAGGAAATATTCCCAGGGAATATTGCCGGCAATATTCCCAAAATTCATAAATTCCCGGGAATTTATTTTTAATTAGCAAGGTAGGTTTAAAAACTGTTACTTAATAGTTAAAAGCCATAATTATAAGGTTAAATCAATCACAAAAACTGAAATAGGCTATATTATAATACAAAGTTTTATTCATCATTGCCTCCAGGATTGATTATTGACAATATAAATAGGTTACATACCTTACGTCGTCAATCCTAAAATTAGTCTATGGCGACTAGTTTCGAAACATCAAGGTTTCATTCATAAGAGGCAAGAGGCTCGACAATGAAACCTTGATGTTTCGAAACTAGTCGCCATAGACTAATTTTAGGATTGACGACGTAAGGTATGTAACCTATTTATATTGACAAAGTTTTAATTGAAATAAATAACTGGGAATTTATAATTTTATAAGCTAAATTGCTCAAATCGGTCACTGTGGTAGTTTGTTTTAAATAAAACACAAACAATCTATTTTCAAAAAATTTTGATTTCATACAACTAGTGTAACTGTTGCTCGAATTCAAGCTATTGCTAAGTATTACAGGTGTTATTTTAAAAAGAATAAAAGTCATAATTTCTGATGACTTTAAAAGATTCGCCTCAAGAATTATGGAAATACTCAAGATCTATATAACAGAGATCGATATAATCAACATTTCTTGTAAAATATCTTATCATTTTTCGCAAAAGCTGATCTTGTTTTTTAGTGTTTTCTACAAATAGCCTTACACCTAGCCGCATTAGGTAGTCCATAATAATGACTATAAATTCTTAAAAAACATTATTTCTATTTCTTCTCCTTGGTGGTGTTCTACGACTTTCCTACGTTTCCATAGTTTGCAAATCGGCTCTTTCAATTATTACTAAGAAATGCAGCACAGTGTTAATTCAGTTTTCTTTTAGCGAATTTCCCTATAGGGAAGTAGCTATTACCGTAGTTGGCAAGGTAAGACCAACGAGCACATAATATGATAAGACCTGGAGCCGGAACCGATATACTTTTTAGTTTTGATGTCCTTAGAGGCCAAAAACACTGTTTGTTCAAATTTTTATGTCCGTAAATGACATGTATATATGGCGGACATATATATACACGGACATATGTAGCCTATAGCCTATATGTCAGTGAACGTGGTAGCTTGAGTTATTTTTCTCCGATTTTGATTAAATTTGGTTTGAGGATGTATGGCGGGATAAACTTAAATGAGTTAGCAAACCAGCATGATCGGACCATGGGAACACGGTTTTATGGAGTAAAAAATGGTTTTTTCTTATTTTTTACCCTCAAAACAAAAAATTTCCCAATTTATCTCTAGACCATTTTAACGTACTAAAAAACAAATAGCCTAATTTAGTAAACCAAAATGTTTTTGTACGGTTATTGTTTATTGAGAAAATTCAAAAAATAGCAAATTTAAAATTCCCATGCTATTCTTATGGAGAATATTGTAAAATGTTGTAGTTTGCTTGTTTATGGAAATATTTTAATCAAACTTGGCACATTTATTTATTTTATTTAAGGCCGACCTTCTTCCGCATCGCAGTCATGATCTTCCATTTTAATCTTGTGGAGGAATACAAAACTTTAAGGGGCCCCAGGACCTCACTTTCTAATTATTTCCCTAAAAAAAGTTTCCTGCACAGCTTCACATTACGCTCTTTCCAATGACACCAAAAACATATCAATCGGTTCAGTAGTTTCAGAGGAGTAGGCCTAATTGTCACAAAAAACCTGCTTGCATATTAAATAAGTATATATAGATAATCAGAAACAAACATAACCTAGTAAATACACAGGAAATAAAAATATTATTTGAAAAACAATTAATTTAGTGTATTAAATCAAGACTGCATATTAAAAACGAAAAGGTTAGATGGGAAATACTGAAATTACATACGGTATTTGCTTTCCGTATTTTTTTTATGTTTCCTAGTCACTGTCACTTTCTATGTCAATTATATTTCCTTCGTCCTTCTCGTCATCTACATCTCCAAATCCACAAAAATCGTCTTCATTGTTACTTGTCAAGTCAATCTCATCCTCATCCCCTTCTTCGATTGTGAGAAGGGACAAGATGTCTTCATTTTCTTCCTGTCCTGTTTCCTCTGGGTTGCCTTCTGCTTGCTTACTCTCTCTTAGAGGTTGAGCATTCATGAGTTTCCAGTTGTAAGAAAGAACTGTCAGTTTTGCTGCTCGCTCAGATAAAAGTCTGTTTCTTTTCTTGGAATGCAATAATTAAAATCCATTCAGTTTCATAAATTCCAAAAATATTTTACAGGAATGTACATGGAATGACAATTCTTAGATTTAAATGTAAGAAATTACTATAGGTAACATAGTTTTAAGGTTCTTTAACCGTCAATATGTGTTAAAACGTTCAGAATTTTAAAATTTTCATAAATTCCCAATTTTTGGGAATATTCCCAGTTTTGGGCCAAAAAAATATTCCCGGCAATATTCCCATTTTATAAGTTCCCTCCCACTGGGAATATTCCCGGCCCACATCACTACTTAGGCCTACAGTATTAAAAATACAGTTCTAGGATACAGTCAATGAAATAAAAATAATGATTTTTGTACTTAGGTATTTTTGTTATATAACTGTAGAGCTTATACATTGGAAACGAACAAAACAGACTGGCTCGGCATGTTCACTCATTTCCCTGCCAGGCGCCGACTGTTTGGCTCGTGAAATTGTAAAACATCTGTTGTCTCTATACTACTAATTCTAGCAATGTACTAGTTCTATGCTAATGTGTAATTCAATTTTTTTAAATGCTCAGGAGCGGTTCAGATTTTTGACGTTCAGATTTTCGACTCTCTACTGTATCAATATATTGTCAAGAATGCAACAATAAACTGCAGCTGATTAAATCAATCGATAAATAATTATGATTGCTATTATCAAGCCCTAGGGACTAATATGGTTTTTTTATCCCTAGGGGGTTAAAGTACTACTTTAGACCTGGAAGGCATCTATTAAATATGGCTGTTTTTGCTGCAATATGGCAAAAAAGATTTTAAGGTATTGAAATAAATAGAGAATCACAAATGCACAGTCTATAATCATGTGATTAAACTTCATACAATTTGAAAACAAATCATATAATATCTTGAATTGTCAAAATTTTCCTTAATTTCAAGAAACAATAAAAAAAACATGGTTTTAACATATTTCGGTGCATTATACTAAAATTAGAGATTTGATTGTCAGATTTTATCTACAATTTTGTAAAATGAAATTAAACTTGCAGTATAATAATCAGGTTTTAGTGGTACATATTTAGTTTTAAAAATCAGACATGCCACTATATGTAATTCAATTGAATAAATATGGCGGTTAGCGGCTCAGTGGTGGAGACAGCACTGTGGGTCCGCGTCCCAGAGGCGTCATTCCAATATTATACTGTACCAGCTCATCCCCCCCCCTCCAACTTTACTTTTTAGGATGCTAGCTCTAGCCCAGAACTGTTTTACACATTACTTCAAGCTATACCTAGAGGGGGGGCATTGTCACGTAGATAAAATGCATTGATTTTTGGGATCTAGCCCTGACCAAAGCTTGCACTGGTTCTACCGAGACGAGCTCGTTCCTTTCTTCGCTTCTTATATTCCAGGCACAGGCCTATGTGGACAAGCAAATGTAAGAATAAAAAAGCCGTAGGCTAAACTTATTTTAACCTGTTAAAAAATTAAGAAATATCCGTCCAGTTTGACCAGTCTAACGACAGTTTTAACTCTTTAACTGTTTAACATTCATACACTTGTGCAAGTTACAACTGCAACAGGTTAAGTTTTACATACAATAATATTAAGTAGTTAACATTTGCTGATCCATAAATACAATCTAATACAGTATTCACAAGATATACAAATTCACTTAACCTTATCATTCTCAAGTTTATTATAAATAAATATGGTACCTCAACTTAACATTTGGAAAAATGTCTCATTGTCTAAATACTGTTTTAACTTGCGCGAATAACATAACTTTAAAAACCTTAAACAAAAATGTCAATGTCTTTAGCAACTAATTGTAGAACCAGATGGTTTGCAGCATACAATGGAGTTGTAAGTGACTTGGTCTTTAAGTGCAGTCTGCAGCCCTTGGGTTTCACTGCATTGTAGAAGAACCAGCATGTATCTGAAGAGGACTTATCTGAAAAAAAAAAAAATATATCATTGCTAAAAGATCTCTGGTTCTAAATGCTTTAAGCATAAAAGACCTATACTGACCAAGTGATTTTTTTTTAAAAAAGCTAGGCTCGTATTAGCTGGATTGAAAACCTCAGGCTCGCACACCTCTACTATGCAGAGTAAGAAGCATACCTAGCTAGGGTTGCGTCTATCTGCGTAATCCACGGGATTATCAGTTTCAGCTTCCGCCTGTAGTTGGTGTCCTTGCTGATGGGGTTGTGGTCCAGATACACGGTCACCAGCTTCTTGTTGTTAGCCAAGACGTCCAAAGAGTTCCAATCAGTCACGTTGTTGTCGTTGAGCTGAAACATCCACCAAACTTGTCATACAACATATAAACAACAACAGAAGTCCAATCCGACACGATGAACAAAAAACTTAACACACTCAAAACATAAGAATATCCCACTGTCACTGACAGCATTTTAAACTAGTGGAGGAATAAGTTGAAGAGAAAAATACCGTTTTGAATATAAAATAGACATTTAAACACGACACGAACACGAATACGAGACATTTGTCTCGTCACACGGATGCATTAACACGAATGCGAGACATTTGTCTCGTCACACGAATGAAATAACACAAATACGAGACATTTGTCTCGTCACACGAATGAAATAACACAAATACGAGACATTTGTCTCGTGTTTAAATGTCTATTTAATTATTTTCGTGTGAACAATATGACGCTCTTCGTATGAAGAAAGAGACCCGTCCTTGTACAGCCTGATGATGATACTAGTTGTGTTTACAACAACGTTGGATTGCTTAATATCAGGTATTTGAACCTTTGTTAATACCGAGTTTGTATTGACTACAGTGTATACTAGGTCCTGTGCATAAAAGTTGTGTTTTTAATTTTCTAATTCAAATTTTTTAAGTTTCTAATTGGGATGGACAACTATTATAATTTTAGGTAAAATGGACTTTTTCAACAAAGTGTTTTGAATACCCTATGTTTCGGAAGGTAAGGAAACTCATCCCGTTTTCAAGTAACCTAAATATCTATATCTTAACTTAAAAACCCTATCTACCATAACTATCTTTTCTTTTTCCTCTCATATGCAAAAAACCCTCCAAACACGTAGCCTAGTCAAAACACTTAGCATAGTCCTTTTTACCTCAAGTTGACTCTCAGTAACTTTTCTTGTAAAGAATGATTTGTAATATGCATACTTTATGGGTTATAATAAGTAGAATTCCTTGAATTTCAGAAACAACCAGTTGGTAGCTAAGTAAATCATGAGAGTGTATAAAATAATGCTTTATTCAATTTCAATTATTTTGGTAAATAAATCTTTTTTTCACCACACTATGATGTTTTTGGCTGTATTACATACGTTAATTGGTGGCTTAAAGTTACGTTTTGCTGGCCATGCCAGCTGTCATCGTAATTTGGGGACCGAGCAGGTTTTTACAGCCCGGGGCCGCAAAATCAGCTGTCCGCTTACTTACTTAAAACATGAATGCATTTTAAATACACAATCAAAATCCATAGCATTGCAATAGAATTGTGTTATTGATTCCTCAAATTATTTCTTCACATAATCTTAAAGTTGTAGTTGTGTTGACTATCAGTGTGCATTAATAAAGTGGTGAATAGTTGTAATAGGGTATAGTGTGGTGAAAAATAGCGTTTGCACCACGGACCGAAATGGTTTTGCTGCTCTCGATCAATTTAAGTTCTAGACTTTGTCTCGAATCGAGCCGGCAAAACCTCATTTTCGGCCCTAGGTACAAAATATACTATTTTAAATAACTTTTCCACAGTTGCTTCCAATTTATGAAATTGAAAATGAAAAAGTGAATAAATTAATTTTGTAACAATTTCTTATCAACGTGTAATACGCACCCAGAACTCCTCTAGTAACTCAAGATGGCTGATGTTCTCAACTGACGTGATTTTGTTCTGCGCCAAGTCCAGTGTGGTCAGTTTGGTGTTGTTCTCCAAGTTCTCGATCTTTGTGATTCCATTCTCTGAGAGGTAAAGTTCTTCCAGTTCAGTGAGCTTGTCCAATCCGCTGATCTCTGTCAGCCTATTGGCCTGCAAAAATATGCTTATTCTTATTTGATTGATGTACACTATTTTTACACTGCAATTTTCTCGGTAGGCAGGTGGTCGTAGTGTTCGCCCAAGGGTTCAAACCAGAGAGGGATTGCTTTTTGACCCCGTTAGCATTTTTCATCAATTAACAATAACAATGCTAACAAAGTTCGACATTAAATAGTGACAAAAGGCAACAATTTTGGACAAAAATGTAAAAAACACCACAGATGTAAACAGACACATCATGAGAGCAGTGTGTAGGTGAGGCCAAGTACAAATGGCCATGTGAGTAAAAGTAAGTAAGTATCTACAAGATTGAGGTTTAAGGTATTCAAATTACACACACATGTGTATTATTTTTCTTCTTTTCTCATTTTTGATGAGACATTTTTGTGTTATTCTAATGTGAATATAAATATAGGACAAGCCTGGCATACAAATTCTCTGTAGCTTTATTGCAAACTATGACAAGAAGAGTGAGGAAAACAAAAACAATATAAACTTGTAAGTATTGTAAACCTATTTGCAATAGATTAGCGACGTATATTGAAGATAAATTTGTATGGATTTAAGATTGAAGGTAAATACAAAGTGAATTGGGGACAATTTAATTAAACCCATGTCAACTTGATTGGCATTATTGGAAACGACTCATTGACACTGTTAGTTGTCTCAGCAAGCTCACTAATTGGTTTTTGAACTCGACAGCTTTAGCCCTGTGACCAATACAAGCTTTTCCTCAACAGAACCTAAATTCATCAGAGGGATCAATGTTTTATGATTAAACCTGTTTGCGCAATATGGCATAATCCTGGGAGCAAAATATGCTCAACAGGGTGCTGTACTGTTTAAATCTATTAACTAAAAATTTGCATACATAATCTTTAAGGGTGTTTGGTCAAAAATTTGATCTCAGATTTTTTGTTATTGTTCAATTATACTAAAAGTTAGAGATATATGAGAAATATTTTTTTATGTTGAATATTAAGGGAGATATGGAGCTTGAAAGTAGTCAATTTGTCATATTTTGGTACCAATTCACAGGGGGAATGGGTAATGTGACTCTCACCAAAATTGGCGTTCATGTGTGAAAAAATAAGATAATGATCACTAGCTACTTAAAATTAAAATTTTTTAACTTTTTAAATATTTTTATTATTTTTATAGAATATAACGGGGCTTTTTTAGGGGCTATAGAATATAACGATACATGTATTCTGTTAATGATACATGATGTTAATAATTACATAATGTTAATGTATTTTATAGCCCTGGTGTGAGTGTAGACACTCTCGACGGGTAGTGCGCTGCCAGCGCCAAGGCATCAAAGGTACGAATTCACAGCCCAAACGAGTTAACATATCGCATAAAAAAATCCATCATATAGATGAATTTTACCCAAAGACAAACAGCTATTTTTAAATTATTAAAAAAACTTTTAAATATTTTTTAGTTTTATGGAAAAAAATAAATTGTAAAAGTTAAAAAATTTTAATTTTAAATAGTAGCTAACGATTATTATCTAATTTTTTTCACACCTGGACGCCAATTTTTGTGAGAATCGCATTACCCATTCCCCCTGTGAATTGGTACCAAAATATGACAAATTTACTACTTTCAAGCTCCATATTTCCCTTAACCAACCCTTTCCGAGTGTCCATAGTTGAGGCCTTAATGTCGGCCTATTTTTGGCGCATTTGCAAGGTTTTATTAAAACGGATCTGAGAAGCTTAAAACAATGTTAATTCTACTGTTCTATATACCATTTTGTTTGGAAAATCATGGGCTTCAATATCATACATAAAACATAAAGAACATTTGTTTCAAAAAATTTTTTTAGGTAAAAAAAATATTTTGGAAAATTTAAAAAAAAAAAAAATAAGTTCGCGCTCAATGAAATTGTATAAATTATAGGCCTATAAATATTTGAAAATAGCCACTTTGTTCTACATTTTATGAGGATTACAAATATATAATAATATAAGGAAGTAGATTTGCAAATAAATAATTTATGGGCAAAAAACAGATTTCAGTACATAGCGTTTAGCTAAAAACTATTAACCCCTGTCAGCAGCACTACAAATAAGACACATTTAGACACAGAAAAAACTAAAGACCATTCATTTACAGTTGTTAAAAGTAGAAAATCAAAACTTACAAAAGATATCATTCCACAAGATAGAAATGTTAATTTTATCTCCAAAAATCAATATGAGGTGCTATCAGTAGAAGAAGAAGAAAATAGTCCAAAAGAGCAGTTAGTATATGCGTCGTCACCAAGAAGAAAGAAGAAGCTCCTTATCTGTGCAGGTAGTCATGGAAGAGACCTTGCTTGGAATCTGAACCAAATTCAACGTACATATGAAGCTGTGGGATTTGTCCGACCAGGTGGTCACACATTCCAAGTTCTCAACAACCACAACATCGAAGAAGAAAAATTGGGAAAAGAGGATGGTCTAGTGATTCTTTGTGGCACCAACGATGTGGCAATAAATAATGCTCAAGATGCAGTGAGGAACATCGAGTCAGTTCTAGGCAAAATAACAGGTACTGGATCCAAAACTGTTGTAGTTGACATACCAAATAGGTATGACCTGGTGGATTGGTCCTGTGTAAACCAGGAGGTGAAAAAGACTAACTGTGCACTTAAAGAAATGTGTAAAAGTTTTGAAAATGTGAGTTTGGTTGAGGTTAGCAAAGCAGAAAGACATTTACACACCCAACATGGCATGCATCTTAATAAGAGAGGCAAGGTGTGGCTAGCAACTCAAATAGCCAAAGCCCTGGACAACATAAAGGAGCAAGAGCCCAAACCAGCCCCAAGGACCGGCACAGAAAAATCAACAGATGACATTGTGATGACACCGGAGAACAGCACCCAAGCTTCCGAAGACAACACAAGGCCAGCGGGAAACTCACCTTCCCAGACGCCGATCCACTCCAGGTAGACCTACCCCTGCATTGTACCAGAGACTTAAGTGTATACCATTTAAATATACAATCTATTCGTAATAAGGTAGAAGCTCTAGAATTATGGTTAGACAAATACCCCTTTGATATATTGACAATAAACGAACATTGGCTTGGTAAAGAGGAATCAACACTGTACATACCGGCTGGCTATGCATTAGGTAGCATATTCTGTAGGAATGTGCAATTAACTAGGGGTGGAAGCGCAATTTTTGTTAAGAATGCTATTGATTTTTAACTGATAGACATTGAAAGGTTCTGTGTTGATCTTTGCTTTGAGGCAGCAGCTATAATTTTGTCAAAGATTAATGTCATTGTTGTTGTAGTTTATCGTACTCCTAAGTCAGATACCAATACATTTTTTCATAATTTGGAGTATCTCCTAGAATTTTTAAATGAAAAGTTTGTAAACTTAAAACTGATTTTAACTGGAGACTTTAATATAGACATAAAAAAAGAATCTAATGAATGTTGCTGTTTTCTTGATTTACTTAGATCCTTGAATTTGTATTGTTTAAATGACCAAAGCACAAGACAAGAAGCTTGCTTGGATAATATAATAACAAACCTTGATAGGTCAAGCATAGTGTGCCGAGTATTGGAACCTAATTTGTCTGACCATGCTGGTGTGTCTGCAGTTTTTTTTAACTGGGGAGTAGGCCTAATGGATAAAAGTACTGTAAAAAATGCATTTGTATTGAAAAGAGTGCTTTCTGCTAGCTCAGTTTTAAAGTTTAAAGAAATATTGTCACAATTCAACTGGTCACAGCTTAAACAATACAACAACGTTGACCAAGCTTTTGAACACTTTTTATTTGTTTTGACTACTTCTTTAGAAGAATGCTGTAAAATTAGGAAAATAAAAAATAATAAATCTAAAAGGTCAAAAATCACATGGTTTACACCAGAGTTAAAGAACATTAGAGACTTCATTGTTACTTTATATGATATGTATAAGTTGTCAATAGGTGGTGAAAATGAACAAAGGCATAAACATATCTATAATGAAGCAAAAAGAAAATATAGGGCCAAAATTAAAGAAGCCAAAATATCTGCAAATGACAATTACATAAAACATTCTAAGAATAGCTGTAAAGCTGCTTGGGATATAATAAAGGTTGAGTCTAATCGTTCTAAAGTTAAACAAGAAGTGCCTGTGAGCACTAATGCTTTTAATGACTATTTCATAAGCTCTGTTTCACATACAACGATAAATAATACTGCAGCCATTGACTTAGTAGATAATTATATTTCTAGTTGTAATGGAGGAATCAATTATTTTAAGTGGCAAAGCATTGATCATAGCAAAGTGTTAAAGAGTGTCTCTAAGTTAAGTTCATCCCAAAGTGAAGATTATTATGGGTTTTCCAACAAATTGTTAAAAGAAGTAATTGGGGAACTTGTAGACCCTTTGACATTCTTGTTCAATATGATGTTGGATCATGGTGTGTTTCCTCAGGCATTAAAAGTTACAAAAATAGTTCCAGTTTATAAAAAAGGGGAGAGATCACATCCATCTAGTTATCGGCCAATCTCTCTAATACCTATATTTAGTAAGGTTTTTGAAAGTTGTGTGAAGGACCAACTTAGTTTATTTTTTAGTAGTAATGGTTTGCTATGTAAAGATCAATTTGGGTTCCTTAAAAACTTGAACACAACCAAAGCCATAGAAACAATAGTAGAGAATGTTTTGGAAAACTTTTAAAATAAATATTTATCATCTGCAACTTTAATAGATCTCACAAAAGCTTTTGACACAATCTCCCATGAATTAATTGTAAGTAAATTGTGTAGTTATGGAATAAGGAACTTTGAACTACAGTTGATATCTTCTTACTTAAGTAACAGAAAGCAAATGGTTGTAAAAGATCAAGAACATTCTGATTTCAAAACAATTCAGGTAGGGGTCCCTCAAGGATCGGTATTGGGCCCTTTCCTATTTATAGTTGCAGTAAATGATTTTGCCTACAATATGCCATGTAAAGCAGTATTATATGCCGATGACACCACTCTTCTGAATCAAAGCAATGATTTAAATGGTTTATTAATTGAAGAAAATAATTCAATGATAGCAGCTGAGGAATGGTTTAAAGTTAATGGGTTACTTGTTAATAATAGTAAAACAGAAAACATTGTATTCTCTTTAAATAAATCTATAAATGAAGGCATTAAACCAGTAAAACTATTAGGATTATACCTAGATAGCAGACTTGACTGGAAATCTCAAATAAATCAGCTGTGTAGAAAACTATCTAGAGTTACTTGTTTACTTAGAAAATTAAAAAATTGTGTTAGTTCCTCAATGTTAGTTACAGCTTACTATACTTTTTTTAATTCCCATTTAATGTATGGAATAACACTTTGGGGTAATAGCTCATGCTACGCACCATAAAGCTTTCTATAGACTTTCATTAACTTAGGCCTACAAAATTCCTTTGGCTATTAAGTTAGCCCACATTGAACTCAAAGTCATTTCTTTCTTAATAAAGATAATTCCTAATTTGTGTTTTATTTTTGTCTAATGAGGTAAGTCTTTGTCTTAATCTTATAATTATTAATTATTTTAAGAATAAATAGATTTGGTAAGTTACAATATATAATTTATTAATGAAATACAAATATAAGATAAGTTATTGGTTGAATTAGCTACAGGGTAAGTTAACAATGGTAAATTTTCAAAATGGTGGGGTTCCAAAGTGGATGAAAAGATTCTCTAGGCTTAGGCCTATATTGGGTTGGTTTCTTCTTAAGTACTAATTAATTTTCAAATAGATGACCTCATAATCTCAGGGAGGGGTGGTCGTGCCGGTTCGAATGATATATTAGGCTTCTTTAAAATGTAGATAATTTAATTTAGTTATTATTCTGAAATACTAGGTTCGTGATGCTATTAATATAATAATGTTAATGTCCAAAGAAAGATTCCAAATGGTTTCACTGAATTTAATGAAATAAAATAAAATTTGAAGATTAAATTTTGAATAAAAGTTCAATTTGAAATATGTATATATCTTGATGAGTTAAGATAATTGGGCCTATTAGGCTATGCTGATTAAATGTTCAATGAAGATTAAATTTGTCCTTAGTTAAACAAGATGGATGATGGTTACCAAATTTGGAGTGTCTTTTCTGTCTTCACCTTTGTAGCATTAAGTATGTAGTAAATGGAATAGGGGTTCGTTAAAATTTGATACTCTTCAAGGCACTTGTCCAATACTTTTGGATGATAAGAAATTTAAAATTTAGATTATATTTTAGGATTATGAATTTAATCTAAATCAAACACAATGTCCAATAAATGATGTTCACACTGTGAAGAGTTGGCAGGATCTGGGGAGAGGCAATGGTAGAAGCTCAGGAAGTCCATGTCCATTGTTGAAATGATGTACAGCTGGTTAATTCACATAAATGACACTTGCCACAGTAATTTTGATTTTCTTTGGATAATTTTGAAAAGTGATACTATATTTAAGATTTTATTACTATATTGCAATTTTCTTACAATTATATATTATTCTAAATAAATGATTATTGTTGGTTTTTGATAAGTACAGGATAGGTATGGAGAGAATTGGCATAAATATTATATTGTAACATAAAAAGAGATGATGTTTCTGTGGGGTGATGGGATATTATATAACATTGAACAAAATTTGATAAAATAACACATTAACAAGGAGAAACATATTAAATAACTGAAAATACATTATCAGGGGCATTAACAGACATTATGAGAGAAAATATACAAAATAAAAGAGAAATTAATGTTAATGATGAATGAATGACATGTAATATTACACTCAGATTCTGAAAAAGCATTTATATGGCAAAAAAAAGCAATTAGGATAATGGCAAACATTCCTGACGGAGAGTCATGTGTTCCACATTTTAAAGAATTCCAAATAATGACTCTTCCGTGTTTGTATGTATATTTTAGCTTAGTTAGTGTTAAGGGAAACTTAAATAGCTATAGTTTTAGAAGTGAATTTCACAAATATAATACTAGACGGAACTATTTACTTGATTGCATATCTATAAAACTAGAAAAATCTAAAAAAAAACCATTTGTTTATGAAAGTCAAGCTTTTTAACAAGCTGCCAAAAGAAGCCTGGACTGTGAACCTAAGCAGATTCAAAATAACTCTGTCAAAGTGGTTAAAAGAAAATGTTTTTTATTCTGTTAACGAATTTTTGGCCTGTGATATTAGTACATTAAGATTTTAACTTAATTAGATAGTGATTTTGTACTTGTAGCTGTTTTTTCAGTGTCTATATCTATATGTCTTTTTTGATTTATTATTTTATATTTGTCCATATTGCACATTTGATGTCTTATAATACTGTATTTGACTTTGTCTATTGCCATGTGACAATAAAATTCTTGATTCTTGAATGCATAGCCTAACCATAGCTAGGAATCTGGCTGATAATTTACATCAATATCACTACCTACTTCTTCAGGATCATCAACCAGCCCTTCAAAATCACTTAAATCTTCTTATAATGCACCACGTATATCACTACTTTTGATTTTTAACACTAAAACAATGATAAACGTAATAAAACACATCAGTCATCGGTCCGAGGGTAACCTAGCTGTTTACAGATACGCACGTCAGCTGTCTGCTACAATTACAATTGGCTCGGAGAACATAAAGCGCTTAGAGACAGACCTCTGGAGAAAGCGTAGAATATAACGAAAAGAACGATACCTAACTCGATCCAGTTCAATCCGATTCAGTCAGTCATAGAGCCTTCGCCGTAAACGATGTTCGTGCGTCGAAAAATCGACGCGTGACACTACACAAAGTGTGTCGCGCGTCGATTTTTCGACGAGTGACGCTAGGAGGGTTAATATTCAGCATTCACGAGAAACATTCCGCTTCCTAACGGTTGGAAAACACAATTTCGTTCCCACACACGGGTCAAACGCCTAACCACGACTGCCGGATCAGCTGAACTTGGAGGAGGACGGGCGGGGGTAGGTGAAGTGTCCATTGTTGGTAAGCCATTCCTGTTTCTGGCCTTATCTCGTAGTCCCTCTAATTTGTCTTTAATATCGTTTAAATGCACCGTGGTGACATCCACCCATGTTCTATTTTTTTGTATTGAGTTATGTGTATATTAGTTTTGCATGAATATCTGAAAAAAGCCCAACTTGATATGCAAACAACCTGCTGTTCTGATTATAATAATGTTTCAACTGACTACTGTAAAAGATCCCCGTCCTTAGAACGGGCACACTGCTAGTTACAACTATAACACAACTTACCTGAAAACTAACACACGTTAATTTTGTTAGCGTATGTATATTTTCAATTTTTGTGATTTTGTTCTTTCCTAGGTAAAGTTTTTCCAGGTTATCAAGACCTTCTAGATTTTCAACAACCTGGAAAAATAAAATAAATTTTAGATCCAAAATAAAACTTTTACAGCAGTAACAATTGGAAAGCAACAGTAACAGTTTTAAGTTATTTTAAAACTATTTTTTCTATTTTTAATCATGTCCTAATGTTTCTTAATTTTATAATGTTATTTATTAGCGAATTTCCCTATAGGGAAGTAGCTATTACCGTAGGTGGCACGGTAAGACCTAGACCCGGGACCGATTTACTTTTTCATTTTGATGTCCCCAGAGGCCAAAAACACCATTCGTTCAAATTTTTATATATGTATATATATATATATATATATATATATATATTTGTTGTAAACTTGTTCACTTATGAGGGCTACTAAGTAATTAATAAATAATATGTAAAATAACATGACAGGGTTGCCACCAAAGTGAGATAAAAAAATTCATGCACAATTCAAGGTTTTCATTGGTAGTTTTGAAAAATTCATGGGGTATATGCTCGCACAATTTCACCATAAAAGAGTGTTGCCTAGTTCAGAATTGTACATTAATTTATCGACAATATATAGTTTTGTGTGCTACTATCAAATAAAACACATTTCATGCGTTTATTTTAGAGTTAAAAATAAGAATTTAATATAATTTATCCAGTCTAAAAAAAGTAAAATCACAGATGAAAAAGGATATTAATAAAAATCTTGTGTGTGATAATACGATGTAATTATTTAAAAAATTGAAACATCTGATTTAACAACATCATAGGCCTAATGATAAATTCAAACGTTAGAAGAAATAATAAATAAAAAAATAAGTCGGATTGGTAGTTAGGTCTAGGCCTAACCTAAAAAACATTGCATCTAAACATAAAAGGTTTAACTTAGTTAATCCAGCAATGGCCTACAACTTTACTGTCTAAATATCAAATTAAGATAATAGGCTACTATAAAAACAAATGTTAAGAACATGATCAAGAAACGGTTATCTTAGTAATGGGCCATATCTAGGCCTACTAAAACGCACATGCAATTTATTACTTTATACAGTAACACAGTAGGCTAGCCTACAACATTGTAATCCAAAGCTGAATCTAGGCTAAGTTAGGCCTGAACCAACTTTTATTTATTGAGAAGATTAAAGGTTACCGACTGACTGATAATAACACTCTAAAAAGGTAAGATTATGTAAATAAATATTTAGTTAAAGCTAAGAACGAAACAAAAGTTATGGAATGTATGTAAGTTTAGACATAGGCTAACTTACATTAAGTAATACAAAAATAATTAATTACATTACAGAAAAGGTTAAAATAAACTTAGTTAGGAGGATGTTTCTTCAGATTGGATCAGTTTATATATTATTATTTGCCTACACAGGTTTAAATCACAGTTAAAACAATTATTTAATTAAATTTACATCTCATTAGTTAGATTCGTATTGACTGAAAACACCTAGTTAATGCTTCAACAAAACATTTACATTTACCTTCCTCAGAACGAAATCACCATTATTCAGCACAACATTGACTTCTTGCAACTTAGGCCTAAATAAATAAACTTAATCTCACGTTGTAACACATTAACTAAACACTGACAGTGACAGTAGTTTGAAATGACGACATATTAGACCAAAACAAACACAGCAGACGATTAAGTTCCAGCCGGCGCAAGCCATTTTGACCTTTATGGCAAGGCAAGGTACTTCTTATTTTAACGTTGTAAAGTATCGGAAGTATAATATATCAGTAATAAAAAATATTTAATTTGAACACTTGTTCCACTGAGTGTTGGGTAATCAATTATAAGAAGCACAAAACGGAATCACGAGTGCAACAAGTGATCTTACTGTCCAGTGTCCACCACTACTTCAAACGTTTGACTCGTTTCTAAGTTTCAGATCACTCAGATCAGTTTAAAACTTTTAGGTTATGGTTACTCTGAATTTCCTTCCACTCCACACGAACACTAGAGTAGAGAATGAGAGCGAGCATCAATCCCGATTGTCGATGTTTTCGAAACATCGATGTCTTTTCTATCGATGTTCGAAGTTATTTGTTTATTTCGATGGTAGATTACCGAACCGATGATTTGATTTGTTACATCGGTCTTTTAGGCCAACAAAAGTAATGAAATATTGATGTTTTCCGTAACTGAATTGTATTGGTTTTAGGTTAATTGGCTGTTACAGTGCAGAGAACAGTCGAGAAACTCGGAACAAACATCGATGTGATCGATGTTTTAGCTCCGAAAGCATAGATTTTATCGGTAGATCGGTACTCGGTAGAGATGGGCGTTATAACATAACAGGATGAATAACAGTGTTGCGGCCACGGCAACGTTATCGCGGCAACACGTTGCGGAGAACTCCCTGTTATTATAATAACGTATCTATCTACACAATGTTGCAGGAAAGCCGCGCGGACAACGAAAACGAAAACATGCATTGCCATTAGTGCCGTTGCCGTAACGCTACCAGAGCAACGATAACTTCTGAAACGAACTAGTATAACGCATCCTGTCTGGACAACGCGGCAACGCCCGACTCCCGACTACAACTGAAAACTGAACTGATCAACCGACAATGATAACTGAACGTCGCAACACCGACCGGCGGACAACGGTTTATAGCGGCAACGAGTTAACGAGTTGGCAATCGTTATTGAAATAACAGGTTGCCGCAACACGTTATTGGGCAGTGCGTTATCGTTATAACCGTTGCCGGAAAACAACGATAATTCCCATCTCTAGACTACTCGGCAGACGTCGGTTACGATCGGATTTGACCTTGAATAAACTACGCAATCGTTTCTGTTCGTGGCATGGCAACAAAACTTTTTATCTCGACACTCCCACTTTGACGTTTTATCTCGGTGTTCATTTCGAGAATGGTTTTAATTTTTAATACGGAGTATTTGATTCAGCACATTTAGGGGTTTTGGCTGAATTGTTAATAATGATTTTGAGAATTCATGGTCCAATGACGAAATTCACGCATAATTCACGCACTTTTTCATGGTCACCTAAATTCACGCATAATTCACGCTTTTCAAGGTTTTCATGGCTGGTGGCAACCCTGCATGAGTACCCTTTTTTTATATTCTTTTTTATTTAATAAATCACAACATGTTTCGTCTCTAAGGACATTTTCAAGTGTGTTAACCTAATTTCAAACAAAAATATTATGTTATGAATAAATACAGCTGTTAATTTTGTTAGTACCTATGTGAATGAATGTTTAGTTGTTGGTTTTTCTAACACTTATAATTTTGTTAAATATAGGATTAGTGGTTTGTGTGTGTACTATATTTAAAATGTTGTTTCTGTCTTCTTTGTAGTGTTTATATATGTGAAAATTTTCTTTTATGTTCATTTTGGTTCCTTTGTTAATAATGTCTAGTATGGTAATGTTTTCGTTATAATTTTTGTATGTATGGTCTGTAGAAAGTATGTGTTCTGCAAATGTAGATTTTTGTGTAGTTCTGTTGTTTGATTTAATTGCTTGAATATGTTCTTTGTATCTACTTTGAAAATTTCGTCCTGTTTGGCCAATATAGAATTTTGAGCAGGAACTGCAGTTTAATTTGTATATGCCTGATTTGTCTTTTATGTCTGATACGTTGTTGTTTGACTGTGAAAATTTGTTAATTAAATCAAATGAATTGTTTCTTGTTCTGTATGATAACTTATAATTTTGGTTGTTAAATGTTTTCCTATATGCTTTGTTAAATGTAGTTGAGTAAGGTAGGCATAAAAATTCATGTTTTCTTTCTTCTTTCTTGACATGTTGGTTTTTCATGCCTGCTTTTTTCTTTATCATTTTTTCTACGGTTTTGCTGCTGTATCCATGACTCTTTGCTAATTTTGTGATATGTTCCTTTTCTTCAATAAAGTCTTCGTTACTCATGGGAATGTTGATAAGTCTATCAATATACGAATGGAATGTTGCCATTTTGTGTTGCCAGGGATGATTTGAATTTGCTGGGATAATGAGATTGTTTTCAGTAGGCTTTCTAAAAATTTTAAATTTATGTAAATTGTTTTCTTTGGTTATAGTCAAATCTAAGAAATTGATAGATGAATTTTGAACTTCTAATGTGAATTTAATTGATTTTGAAATCGTGTTCAAGTATTCCAATAGTTGATTTGGTGTATGGTTGTCAATGTTAAATAAGCATATGATGTCATCAACATACCTGTACCAATATATGATATCCTTCAGCATTGGGTTGACATTGTTAATGATTTTTTCGTTTTCTATATGCTGCATGTAAATGTTGGCTAATAAACCAGATAGTGGTGAACCCATTGCTAACCCTTCATTTTGTTTATAATACATCGAATTAAATTCAAAATAATTTTGTTCTACCGTTGTTTTGGTGAGTGCAATTAAATCTTTGATATTACCATCTGTTAGTTCTTTGTTTTTTGATAGGTTTTGTGATATAATTTGAAGGGTTTCTTTAATTGGTACATTCGAGTACATGTTTGTAATGTCAAATGAGATGAATACAGAGTTATTAGGAATTTGTACATCTTTGATTTTGTTTATCAACTCATAGTTGTTCAATAAACTATAGTTATTTCCAAATGTCATGTAGCTCTTTAGTTTGTAATTTAGAAATTTTGCAAGTTTATAGCATGGTGCATTACGGTAATTAACCACAGGTCGTATTGGTATGTTTAATTTATGCGTTTTCATTCTACCTTTTAGTTGTGGTGCTTTGGGTTTTATCATTTTCATTTTTAATTTTTCTTCTGGAGTAATTATTTTACTTTTTGTTATGATTTTGTTGGTTTGTTTATTATATTCTTGAGTAGGATCATTTTTGAGTTTTGAAAAAGAATTATTGTTTAAAAAGTCTTGTACTTTATCATTGTAGTCTTCAATTTTTAAGACTATTGTAGTATTGCTTTTGTCTGCTTTAGCTATCATAGCTTGATTTTGTTCTAATTTATTGGCTATATTTTTTATTGTGTTAAAATCTTTCTTTGATTTGTTGATTGCTTTTGTTTGTTTAGCATGGGATTGGGTTTTTTCATATTCATGAATAAAATTATGTCTTATAGCTTCCTGATGGTCAGCGGTTTTCTTCTGTATTTCAGCTTCAAAATCAAATAGTTGATCTTCTATTACTTTTGGTTTATGGTCTAAATTTACATTGTATTTGATTGATTTGCATAACTACAACAACGAGATCTCGAGGGCAGTGGTCGGCCTTGCCTTCGGCTGTCTTCGGAGGCCTTCGGTAAAACTCGGTACGTCGACTTACCAGATGCGAACTAAGTGAATGTGGTCTTGGTAGTCAACTTTCATAGTACTGTTAACACACTTGAAAATGTCCTTAGAGACGAAACATGTTGTGATTTATTAAATAAAAAAGAATATAAAAAAAGGGTACTCATGTTATTTTACATATTATTTATATATATATATATATATAGATTTATATATATATATATATTTACTACAACAACGAGATCTCGAGGGCAGTGGTCGGCCTTGCCTTCGGCTGTCTTCGGAGGCCTTCGGTAAAACTCGGTACGTCGACCTACCAGATGCGAACTAAGTGAATGTGGTCTTGGTAGTCAACTTTCATAGTACTGTTAACACACTTGAAAATGTCCTTAGAGACGAAACATGTTGTGATTTATTAAATAAAAAAGAATATAAAAAAAGGGTACTCATGTTATTTTACATATTATTTATATATATATATATATATATAGATTTATATATATATATATATACGTCCGTGAACGCGATAACTTGAGTAATTTTTGTCCGATTTTGATGAAATTTGGTTTAAAGGTGTAAAGTGGGATAAACTTGAATGAGTTCGCGAACCAGCATGATCGGACCATGGGAACGGGGCTTTACGGGGGGTTTTATGGGGTAAAAATTGGTTTTTCTCACTTTTGACCCTCAAAACGCAAAATTTCCCAATTTCTCTTTAGACAATTTTAAAGAGCTTAAAAAAACAAATAATTTAGTATATAAAAGTATTTTTGTTCGGTTATTAGTAACGGAGAAAATTAAAAAAAATTGTAAATTTAAAATTCCCATGTTATTCTTATGGAGAATATTGTCAAATGTTGTAGTTTGCTTGTTTATGGATATATTTTGATAAAACTTGGCAAATTTATTTATTTTGTACTAAGCTATCAATATTTTACTCAAAAACACATTTCATTAGTTTCCTTGTAGCAGTAAACCTAGGTACTCGTTAAACCTAATGTTATCAAAATATATTTAACTGAAAATCAATTCAGACAAATGGAAATTCGCTTAGTCGGCAGGTTTGCTGCGGCGGGGGTATTTTAGTTTTAGATTTAAAGCCAATGCTTGGATTTAAAATAATCAGTTACATTTTTAAGCGCTTTTTAAAAGAAACTTCCACAAGTTTACTCACCCTTATCTTATTATCTCCAAGCTCCAGCAGGTTCAAGTTTTTCAAGTGATTTACATTTTCTATTTTGGAAATTTTATTTGAGCAGAGATAAAGCTTTTCTAACTTCTGTAATTGTTCTAGTCCAGTTATTTCTTTGATCCTATTAAAAGACAAGTCTAGAATCCTGAAACAGAACATAATGTGATAACTAACAATTATGACCAATTACCAAAGACCATTGATCTAAGATGTGTTGATCATGATGTATCCATTTATCAATGTGTAATGTTTTCAATGTGCTACACAAATTTTTAAACATTCGTCATAAACTAAGACCTTAAAACCTTAAGACCTTATGAGTATAAAACTTCCACAAGACTACAAATTTTAGAAACGGACAAAGTTAGTAAAAAATATATTTCCGATTTTTGGATGGGATTACATTTATGTCTTTGCAATGATAGGGGACGTCAAGGGTATCACCGCTATTGTAGGAGAAGATGGTGTCCCCGTGATTAAGGGAGATGTATAAGATTTTGTAGCCATATTGGGAGATAATGTTATCCCCCCACGATTACAGGTAATGTTCACAAATTCGCTGTGACCAGTGATTTGTTCACGATTTTTCTGCCATGGTGGGTGGCGATGATGTCCCTGTGATCATGGATTTATAAAGTCATGATGACATAGAATAGAACACAGAAATAAAGACTGAGAATTGATTTTCATTATCATTATTGCCACAAGAAATTTTTCCAAATTTTAACAAATTAAATTTTTCCTTGTAGCCTAGAAGAGGAAATTCTGATCCCATCCAAAAAATCAGGAAAGAAATATAAATCGTGTCCTATCCCAAACTGAAAGTACAATACTGTCCAAGTCCATCCCTACATTTATACTGTGATTGTGACCTAATTAGCTGAACCTCCCATGTCAATTCCCAGTGAACAAATATTTTATTTTTTGATAACCTTGACAAAAGGCTACCCAGGATGCATAGTCAGAAATTTGTGTCCAGCAAGGCTAAGTTTGTAGCACAACTCATATCACTGAGTTATTAACCTGAGTTGTTTGGCTGTCTCGTGTTTTTTTATCAAAGATTTTCTTGGGTTAAAAATGGCTATGTTCATTGTTCATAAAACATTTAACCATTGCAAAAAAATAGTTTTTACAATGTTTTGCTGTACAACATGTCATGATAGTAGCATAACAGCTATGGCCGAGTAAATGTGTTGATCATGGGAAAGTCTAGGTTCTATCTCACTCAAAATTGTTTTGTAGTGACAAAAAAAAATCAGCATATAAAAAAATTTACTTAAACATACTGCTCTCCATCTACTACAATCACTAATACATAGGCACAACGACCATTAGTGAGAGCACTCTATTATCTTGTGTGTAGCAGTACACTCAAATCATAAAACATTTGCAATTTATTAATGAAATTAAATAGTACAAAAACAAATAAAAATATAAGTGTAAAGTTTACAATCTGGTGACCAACTGTCGAAATCTTAAGGATGGAACGTTTACTAACTATAATGATAATTTCTTACAATTAGTGTCTAGTAAACAAACTTACTCCAGATTTACCAAGGTGTCAAGATTCTCTATGCAGGTGATTTGATTGTCGTAAAGTTCCAATTCTTTCAGAGTAGTCAATGTGGACAGATTCTCAATCTTTTTTATCAGATTCCAGCGAAGGTACAGACGTTCTATACACCTGAGAGGTTCCAAATCCTCAAGCTTTTGGATTCTTCTGTGGTTGAGATCGAGTTCCTGCATAGAAAAAAATCAAAGTGTTGGTATTCAAATGAAACAACTACTATTGGAATTACCTTAAATGGTACTGAAATGTCTCTCATCAGGAAATTAATAATATGTATTATTTTAATTACAAGCATATTTTAGGTAGGCTTATTTTTCTAACTTGAAAATTGATGTTTTTAATATTAATTTGATTTAAATGTTTAGGCAGTTTTGTTTTAGTAATACAATATTTTTATTTATTATGGAGAAGAAAATGTTTTAAATAAGTAAAATATGAGGGTTCCTTACTTCATCCACTAAAATTCTAGTCAATTTTACCCCCCGGATTTTACCCCCTGGCTAAATAGATATAAAATTAGTGAGAATGATTAATTTTCTTCTTTAAGTTTTAATTTAATAGCCAACATTTTACATACATATTAACCAACTGTTGGCCCCAAACCCAAATATCAAAACTAATTAAAGATAGGCTACTTAATAATAAAATGTTTGTTTACTATTAGGTTAAAACTGGAAGAAGAAAATTAATCATTCTCAATAATTTCTATTTCTGGTCAGGGGGTAAAATTTTGGGGGGAAAAAATCTGAGGTAAAAATCCGGATGTAAAATTCTGGGAGTAAAAATATGGGGCCGTACATCTACAGTTGCCTAAGCGCTAGTTATATGGACAGGGGATGAAATTCCTGTTTTTATTGGTAATTACGCTCTGTCTATTTTCATTAGACTTTCAAATCCGCAGGGGTAAAATTCCGCAAACTTTAGAAGCACTCAGGTTACTACGTCATAGCTTTGCCCAGGGAGTAAAATTCCAGGGGGATAAAATTCCGTCGACCTGCTGTCGTTAAACAGTCTTGTTTGAAGCAGTGAAGCGGTCACTGAAATAAGCGGTATTTTGCAAGCGCATCGCGGTGTGACTAATAAAGAGATTTATCAAATAGGGGATGTATTTAAAAGACAATCAAGAACCATGGACAGACCTGGAAGTTTAAAATACACTGCACAGCAAGGAGCGTGTCCTGAAATTCAATCACTGTTGCGGTCGAAACTGTATAACACAATTACCAACATGTACTAGGCCTATGTCAATTTTTTACAATATAAAATTATTTTAAAATCAAACATGATGCAGAAACATTAGTTGTGTTACAATACAGCCTAATCTCTAATCCAAGTTCAAGTAGTGCCTCATCTCAAGCAACATGATAATACAGTCTAACCTTGATATAACAAACCTCGATATAACGAATTCCTTCATATAACAAATTTTTTTTAATCCCCTAGAAATCTCCATAAGACACAATGTATATTTTACCTCTACATAACGAACAAACCATAACAACGACCTTGATTTAACGAATTTTTCGTGATTTCGGCTAAAATAAGACACCTCAATATAACGAATTTATCATTGTCAGAACCTCTACATTGCGAATTTAACATCTGCATAACGAATTGTCTACGTCTTTCCCTCAATATAACAAATCCCCCACCCAATTATTGTTTTGGGAAAATCTGTTTCGTTATCAAATGAAATGGAAAGGTTACGCCATCGCTTGCGCTAACATTCGTCTGCTCCGTTTTACATCTTTGTCTGCTGTCGCTGCGCGCGCTATGTTGCAACTGAGAACCGAACTGATTTCATTCACTGAGGTCTGATGACGACGTAATGTTTAGTAAGCTGAGATTGGGCGATATGGGATAGTTATGGTGAATTGTACAATTTTTGGATAAAGAGAAAACTAAGAAAGAATATAAAAACAAAACCAAAGAGAAAGAATAGCAACATCGTTATCTTAACATTCCTTTTACGAGTGTTTTTATTATCCTTAAGTTGGCTATGATTATACACTTTTATAATGACTTATCTAATAATTTATTGTTTTCAATACGATTTGTTTCAACTAGCAACACCAATGCTATAGTTAATGATTATTATTGACATTCCTCTGTTGTGATAAATCAGTACTGTACTGTAAGTAGCCTACTGGCCTATCACGAGCAGTAGCTTACAAAACTTTCTACTGTTTTGTTTTGTTCTTTACATGGTTTATGACTACGAAATACAGTGTTTGGCTAGGTTTTAGGAGGGTTAGAACAAGCTGTGATTTTAAACTTACAGTTACAGTTTTTAACCTGTACCAAGGTCAATGCCATTGTCATGATTGCGCAATATTCAAGATCCCTCCCCTTTATTTTGCCGGATAATTTAGGTTCTACTGTACAATGTAAACACTGTACTGTAAAGTATTGTAGCGTAGCCTATGCTACTTTAATTGTATTTTAATGAGGTCAAATCCCGACCTATATTGACCGACGCTGGTTCTGAACCTCGACTTAGCGGAATTCCTGCAAACCTAACCTCTATATAACGAACCTCGTTTTAACAAAATCCTTGATATAACGAATATTCAGTTCGGTCCCTTCAGATTCGCTATACTGAGGTTGGACTGTACACATAAAGGCAATCATTGACTCATATACGACTATTTTTTTCAGTACACAGTCCCATGACTGATCTTAGGTATGATGAGAAATTAGTTTGATTATTGTATACACCAACGTCACATTCGAGCTCCCGGAAAAGACAAGATATAGTGTATTGGCATGCCAAAAAATAGTTTACACACCAATTCTGTAAAATATGTGTTACGAATATATATTTTATCTACAACCGTTTTTTAAATTAGCCGTTTCAGTTCAGTTCATAGAATTGAAAAGTTTCAAATAATTGCATCGTTTACTTTCATAGCATAACAGCATAGTTTTACTCATAACAACACGGGTAAAGGACCAATGAGGTTCAAGGATTGAGAGAGAGTAAGTAAAATTGTAATGATTGAACTTCAACTAATCAGCCGTTCAAGCCAATTTAATTGTGGAGTGGTGCAATTAGTGTTTGGGATGATGTTTGGTTGCATCACTGACAGTGGCAATGAGAGGTTATAAACGAAAACATAACCTCTCTTAGAAGTTATTAGTAGTGATTTTTAGTAATTAAAACACAGTCGTAGGTAAAGTAGTGTACGCAACTAGCGTAACTACTATTATTTCTTATTCACTCAACTAACTTTAATTCCATCTCCACAATTCCATAAGTTCAAGAACAATACACCATTTATACCACAAGCACCCACCCTAGCTGGGAAGAACACGATGGGGAAGTTCTCCAGGTTAAATGGTTAGATTAATTAGTGTGTTCCATTTAGCAACTCCAAGCAATCTGTATTATTTCAAGTCGATATAATCACTTTGTACTATAAACCAATTGTCCTACTCACCTCACAATCTACCTCAATTTTAAGATCTTCAATGTTTTTTTCTTCCTGAAAAAAGTATAATTAAAAAGAAACTATCACTGTATTGAATGTTTAAACATGTCCAGCTTTCTTTGGGAACCAAAACCTTTTTTTTTCAATTAAGAAGAACTGATTTTACTAGCCTACAAACTTTTTTTATTTGTTCCTTCTTTATTTTGAATAGATATTTATACAACGCCGACACATCAAGATTTGTATTTTGAGAACGATGAGTGCTGAATGGACGAGATGACAACTGAATTACTGACTAAGATCAGCTGATTCTTCAGCCAGGATCAATAAAAGCCCAATGATAAAGGATAGCCGAGTCCTATTACGAACTATTAAACAGATTTTGACTTTTTTAGCATCAAAACAGCAACCATATCTTGGTAGTCAAATTAGATCAAAACAAATTACTTCTTGCACAAAAGTATCCCCATTTATTAACTTGCATGTCTGTGTTCAATTGTATGAATAAGGTTTGTGGGACATGTGTTTCATATCACTTCTAAGATTTATTTATACATGTCAACGGCTTAGCCAATACATAGATGAATTTGGTTATGAAAAAAAAAACGAACAATAAATTCAATACCCAATAGCAATAAATAATATAACAATGAATAAAGATAAGTGTTATACATAGTTTTTGATGTTGTTATTACTACAAAATATTTATAGCACCTAGCATCATGCATTAGTGTTTAAGTAATAATCCATTGTTTTATTTATTTATTTACGGATACACTATTTTTACTGGAAAATACAGTATGTCTTTGTGACAAAAAGTACATAAGTATGAAAAAACTGGAGACAACAAGATTTCAAGAACAAGACATAATAAAGATAGCCTCAAAAAATGATTCACTATAAATATCTAGCAGAACAAAATAACAATACAATAGATTCCAAGCAATAAGAACAAAATAACATCCACAAGAATGATAGCCACACAATAAATACCACGCAACATGACAGGCAAAGCAGAGTTGATGAAAAACAGGTACCGTACAACTGAAGCCGCGTTTACAAGAGGCCAGTTGGCGGGCAGGTTACTTGGCTAAGGTAACTTGAAATACATAACAAGCAAGTAACCTGCCTGCTCTACTGGCTTCGTGTAGGCCTAAACATGGCTTAAGGGACAAATTGATAAGAGTTAAAAATGCTGTTGAATTAAGATTCAAAATCTTTTTACAGGGAAGTTCAAGATTTCTGTTAGTTACTAACTACCAGTAGTGAAGTACGGTAATGAAACAACTGGAGACAATAGTAACAAGAACAAGACATAAAAAATGCTTTTCAATAAGTACTAGCAGAAAAATAACATAATAGACTCTGCAACATGAACAAAATAACAGCAGGATTTAAACAACAATAGCAGTGTCCTTATTTTGACAATAAATTAATTATTTGTAGTTAGTTATAATTTTTACCTCTCATGCAAGCCAAACAAACACACATTGATAATTAGTTTAAAAAAGTAACATGTATGCAAGAGTATTTTAAATAATTACCTCACAGTCTACGTCGATTATGAGGTCTTCAATGCTCTGTTCTTCTTCTTGATTACCAGCATCGCCACCTGGAATGTAAATAACCAAGCTTACAATATCTTTGTGAAAGTGAACTGTAGTTAATAGTAACAAATACTTAATCCTCCGTGATAATTCACAGAGAATGTATAATTATATAAATTCCAACATGCAAACAGTCTTTAGTCTACACATAGACAATTTTGAATTGAATTTTACTAATATTTAATTTTTTTTTTAATTGCTTGTGATAGTAGATAGGTATTACTTTTAACTATCATCGTCAATTGAGATGGGGACGCCATCTATGTGCGTATATTAACCATTTATGGACAATGTAGCTTGTCATCTATTTTGACAACCACAGTAATTACTAATTACTTTGGTAATTTAGTAATTACTTTGGTAGTGTGGTTAGATCTTTTCTTTTCCACTAATATTCATACAGTAAATCCTACACCATTGAATTTCCCCTCTCAGAGTCTGTTACATTCACCTGTTGAATTTTATTAGTATCCTATTTATAAACATAGGGTAGTCTGACTTTTTAAATCTATTTAACCTAGAAGGGAAGAGAAGACTTGTATTAGGACAATTTTATTCAAGACAAAGCAACTGTACAAACATCCTGTAATACTCTGTACTTTTTTGTGCCAATAAATATAATTTGTTCATTCACCAATGTGTGGTGGGTGAAATAGGCCTAGTTTTATTTAATAGGCATGTTAGTTAAGTTATTTTGGTGAAGTGTAATAAGTAACGACCAAAGCATTAGATTACCATACCACAAACATCCCAATCAACTTATTAGGGTTAATTACCCATTTGCCGTTAGTCTGTTGTAAAAGCAAAGCCATTATGTACCGGTATACAGGGTGTCCGAAAAAGAACTCCCTAGTTTTAAAATTTATTTATTGTACAATATAGGCCTAAAAATTACAATGACCAAAATTAATTAAAGGTAATGAAATAACAGTTTTTTAACACTAGTATACCTCGATATGCGGACCGTTTGTAGCCCTGCATATATCCAAGCGATTTTTACTCATTCTCATCATTATTTTTTATTATTATTTACTACCAAAACTAAGCTCAAGGTCAAACAAGTGTACCAAACTTATTGCCAATGTACGAAACTAAAACTTACAAGAATACTCTACAGCACCAAAGGATTATTACTCGTCCATTTAAACTAATACTATCGTGAGGTATTTTAAAACTAGGGAGTTATTTACGGACAAAAGGTGTAAGGTGGTGAATTGTGAATGTACCATCCCTTAAGTTAAGTGATAATTTTATTCATTAGGTAAAATTACAATAATGAGTAATTATTAATTTACTATCCCTTCAAGCTTATGGATAGTCTATCCTCTAACATCTACAAAAATTGTTGATTACACCTGAGTACCTGAGTTATTTGGGTCATCCACACTAACGGTAGTGTCCACACTTACGGATTTCCTTACATGAGTTGGTGCGGGTGGTGTTAGTGGGGTATCTGTAATGATAAGATGAAGACAAGCAAAACTATATATACAGCAAAGAATGTGTTAAAAGTTGCCAACAAGAAATCCCCTGCGGCAGTTATATTAGGTTGGGTTATCATAAAAATAGAAAGTATGACTCAGAATCTGGTATAATTCAATTCATAACAAAACAAGGAAAGTCCTACAAACATGGTTACGATAACCCAACCTAACATAACCGTCGCAGCATACTGTAAAATATGTGGGCTCCGTATAATAGAAGTACCTAATAATTTGTTAATTAACTCACAGTAATTAAGGATGGTTTCAATTTGACTTTTGCAGCAGAGTTGAAAAAGAATTTAGAATAGGCTTATTTCTAGGGTGGCCTATCGTAGTTTCATTCATTTAATAGCCTACCCCAAACCAAACCGGAATGTTTACACAAAGTTGTAAACATAGCTTTAGTAGGCCCACTACTCCAAATTTTTTCCGGCACAAATTTTACCATCTTATCTTCGTACAGTTTCTTGTTATCGGTAGGTACTCAAAAGGTATGTACTGTTAAAGCTTATTACGAGTTACTTAACTTATATGTTAATTACCAATAATGTTAGTATGATGAACTGATTATTCAGACCAACACCATGCATTCAACCCATTAGAAACTAGAGTACTGATGACCCCATTTTATAGATAAATTGGATCCAATTCCATCACTAGTGTCTCAGGGTCCAGGTCAAAAACCGATGAGAACCTATTTTGTGAAAGAGTGAGGGGTGTGACGTCACTCTCTTCTCTTGAGGGAACACCATTACCGCAACGATACGATGTGCAGCCATTGATGTTCGTGGTGTAGGGGATAAGAGTACCTAGGCCTACTCTGCTGATGTCATGAGGTACCTTGCTTAAAATGTGATTACTTCTTTAAACTGTAGGCTACATCTTTTATTGGAATTTGAGGAATTTATAACCAGTTTTATTTTTTATGAACAGAACTATTTTTTCGATTAGTAAACTCATTCAAACTTCATTCGATTTTTAACTTATATAATGTAGGCCTATTACCTACCGTAGGTAACTAAAAAAAAAATCATCGATTATAATGAATGTTTCCTTGAACAATTGAGTATCCAAATATGGAGCTTGTGAACAAGCCAACTAGCCTATGTTAGCTAGCGTTTTTTTTCAAGAGTTCTAGTTCAAAAGCTCAAGAAAAAGACCTTGCCGGTGTTTTGTAACACAGCCTGCACAGTATTTAAGTAGGCTATGCATTTTTAATAGAAGTTGGACCAAACGTATGCTATAAAAGTACCCGAGCGTATTAACTTACAGTTATTACCTACTCAATCGCATGCATAAGTTACGAATAGGCCTAGGCCTAGCTACAAAGATACTGCAAAGTGCTACAGTAAGAGGAAGCTAAACCAAGAGCGACACAGTTTTTTAAGGAGTGCAAATCCGTAGGCCCAATAATTGTCTTTTACTAACAATCTTAAGTTAATTGGTTAATTCAGGTGTAAATTAATTAGGCCTACAAGTGTGTACCTAGATAAAATATAAACTAGCTTACGCTACCTGAGTTCTCCATTGTCAGAGATTCAATTAAACAACACTTTAAGTTAAATTAAATTCAATGATTTGACGAAACCTTATTAAGAAAAACACTTTAGTTGTGATTAATTGAGAAGAAAGGTAGACTTAATTAATAACAATAATATAATCAAAATGACAGAATAATACAAAATCCCCAAAATCTCATTCGGTTTGTAAATTGTATAAAATTGAGCTAGACTAGACTGAACCATAACTGAACTGAACTGAGACTTGGAGTCTGGACTGGACTACTACAACAGCAAACAGCGATTTGGACCATAGATTAAAAATACTCTTATGGTTGGACTCAACCAATCCACGCCCACCTCTAACTTACGGCCGCCTTTAACTCCAAGCCGCGGCCTTCGAAGTGGCAACGTTGTGTGTTGTTTGGAAGCAGCTAAAATGGCATTTGTGTATCTACCAAAGCTTGGTTACTGGACTATGACAATATTGACACCGCTTAAAAATGTACAGATATAGATTTTTAATTCATATTGTTTCGGTTTTCAATTCTGTATGTTTTATTTCCAATATTTTAATAAACTTATGTTCATAAATTTTAATTTGAATAAAAAAAAATTATAATTAATGAGCTGATGTCACCTGTCTGCCATGTTATCCTTATGGGACGTCTGTCACTAAACAACACCACTTGCGACGTTACCAATTCTACCAGGACCAGGCCGCGGCTTGTAGGAAAAGGTGGCCGTGCCTAACTACTCAGGTATATTACTCTGCTCAGTTTGTTACAAGTGAGTTCAATGTGGTTTGTCCAATTCAGCTGCGGATCAAGTACAAAGCCCAGCAGTTTGGCAGACTGATCAAAAACATTATTCTTTGACAAATTCTCTCATTTAGAGTAAACATTCTCTCCGAACCATACAGAAGCAGTTTCCAGTAAATGATGGACTGCAGCCCTGGAAACACCAAAATCACTGTCATCAGATAAGAAAGTTGTATCGTCAGCATACATCAGTACATTGCCAGCAACTTTGAGATACAAATAATTCATTCACACAAGAAAAAGAAAAGGGCCGAGAAAGGGGTGAAAAGGGTATAGAGCCATGTGGTACCACATAGTACGAAGAGCTTTGCTCCCGCGTAGCTAGGCCTTTTCTAAAAAACGGCAGTCTTTTGGTAGAGGTAGGGTAGATTGAAGTCAGCTGAATTTCGAATGTTATGATTTTGCATGCTGCCCTGCCTGTTCGACTCCAGTTTGCCGGCGTGAATGTATATTGAAGGGACAGTGAGGATGCGAAGGTGTTTGAAAACAGCTCTGCTGCTGTCTCTTCGTTTTAAACCGGCTAGGTATCGTGGTACTGTCCACTTCTCGAGTTTAAGGATGCGCTCGATATTCTCCTGTGACGAACCACCCAAAATATGATTCCATATCGAAGGTGGCTTTTAAAGAGGGTGTGCCATTTTGGCTACATCTGGAGATGCATCTGGAGTGCTCTGGTTGTCAACACTCGCCGTATTCCAAAAAGAGCATAGCAAAGTTTGAGACGGAGCGCCAACTTGGCTGTTCCACGATATAAAGTATCGTCAATGATCATTCCCAGGTGTTTGGTAGCAACTACGGCGTCAATGCAAGGTGGTCCGGCCACGCTCAGTTTTCCTCTGCCCAGGAAAAGCTGTGTAGTTTTATTTTCACTAAAAACTAAATCGTTCGTCAGACAGTAGTCCTGAGCCAGGCTGATGGAAATGAAGTTTGATACTTCAAGTTCATCCACAGACCTGCTGCTGGTCAGAAGAACAGTATCGTCGGCGAACATGATAGCATGGCAGAATTCACTAACGAGGTGGGGGAGATAAGAGGTAAATAAGGTGAATAGCACTGGTCCTAGGTCTAGGACTGAGCCCTGAGGCACACCCCTTTTAACCTTTTGGAGCTTTGATCTTACACATTGTCTCACACACCCCCTAGTGGTATCCATCAGTTCAGTCAGCTGCGATTGGTCCTGCAAGTTGCTATGGAACTGTCTAGTGCACTGCCACCTATGCCGAGGCCTCTAGCTTGGATAATAAGTTGAAGTAAATAATTATTGAGCGGAGCGAGCGAAGCTCTTATACGTAGACTTTTATGCATTTCGTAATACGCAAACTCCTCCTAGACGGCTGAATCAATCGTTTTCAAATTTTGGATGGCGATAAAGACCATATCGGTGAGTGCCAACATCTATATTGCGTTAAAAATAACTCTCAGGAATCCGCCCCACTGGGTCTCAAAGTTTCAATGTAATCCTTATGGAAGCAGTATTTGACACATAAACAAAGACATATGATCAGCTGTTGACTTTTGAATGCAGTAGATAAAAAATAGTTGATAGCATTATTCCACAGATATTAGAACAGAAACGGTATGAATCATAAATATAATCAAATGGCGACACTAGCTTGAGGTGACGTAGGAAGTGCTTAAGGAAGTACTAAAGGTGAGCAGCCTGGAGTGTGGAAACTGTTTATGAAGATTAGATTTAGGTATCTGAATTCCAAAAATTATAAGGGAAGGGACGAAAACGGGTCCGCGACGTAGGAAGTGATGAAGGAAGTAGTCAAGGCGAGCTGTCTGGAGTGTGGGATCTGCTTATGACCATTATATTAAGGTATTTGCAATCCTATGATGGGAAGGGAGGGAAACAGGTCCGTGGCGTAGGAAGTAGCAAAGAAAGTAGTAAAGGCGAGCAGTCCGGAGTTTGGGAACTGTTTATGACGATTAGATTAAGGTATCTGCAATCATAAAATGCTATGGGAAGGGAGGTAAACAGGTCCGTGACGTAGGAAGTGGTGAAGGAAGTAGTAAAGGCGAGCAGTCTGGAGTGTGGGAACTGTTCATGACGATTAGATTAAGGTATCAACAAACATAAAATGCTATGGGAAGGGAGGAAAACGGGTCCGCGACGTAGGAAGTGAAAGGAAGTAGTCAATGCGAGCTGTCCGGAGTGTGGGAACTGTTTATGACGATTAGATTAAGGTATCTGCAATCCTAAAATGCTATGGGAAGGGAGAGAAAAGGTCCGAGACGTATTCGAAGTGGTGAAGGAAGTAGTCAAGGTGAGCTGTCCGGAGAGTGGGATCTGTTTATGACGATTAGATTAAGGTATCTACAATTTTAAAATTCTATGGGAAGAGAGGGAAACATGTCCTCGACGTAAGAAGAGGTGAAGGAAGTAGTAAGGTGATCAGTGTGGAGTGTGGGAACTGAAAACCGTTTGTAGCGGTTAGATTAATATATCTGCAATGCTGAAATGCTATGAGAAGGGATGGAAGCATCCCCACAACATAGAAAATGGTGAAAGAAGTAGTAAAGGCTGGCAGTGCGGAGTGTGGGAAATGTTTGTGGCAATTAGATTAACGTATCTAAAACACTAAATTGCTATTGAAAGTGATGAAAACAGGTCCACGATGTAGGAAATGGCTTATAAAGTAGTAAAGTATGAGCATAGTGTGAAAACCGTCTATGGCAGTTAGATTGATGTATCTTTAATCCAAAAATGCTATGAGAGGGGAAGGAAACAAGTCTATGACGTAGGAAATGGTGAAGGAAGTAGTAAGGCTTGTAGTGCTTAGTGTGGGATCTGTCTTTGGCAATTACATTAATGTATCTGCAATCCTAAAATGCTATGGGAAGAGAGGGAAATATGTCCACGACGTAGGGGGTGGTGAAGGAAGTAGTAAAGGTGAGCGTGTTGAGTGTGGGAATGGATTAATGTATCTGCAATGCTAAAACGCTATGGGAAGAGACTGTAGACTGTAGGTTACAATAATTACGAAGCACGAATCGATACATGCAATCGTTTATAATAGTAATTTACAACTGAGTTGACAACAGCTGATTTTTACTCCATGAGGATAAAAACTATTTTTACTTCCTAAAGAGTAAAAATGCTACTTTAGACCCGCAACGCATGCATTAAAAACGACTGGTATTACTGCAGTATGACCAAACAATATAATATAAACCCTTGATGACTCCGCTCAATTTTGTGGATGCCTCTGCGAACGCCACCTAGTTAATCTATGATAAAAACACACTCATTTTTCGACCGTTCCTCTTTACTGTTCACTACTCTTCTGTAGAATCGCTATTCCCTAAGTTAGTTTAGTTCTGCTGCTGCTGCTCTGCACCAATCAAGCAAGCTTTCACATACACTCTGGTTCTGGTTTTGTTCTTCTTCTTCTGATTTGTGATCTGATTTGTCGTGGATTTGTCTTGTCTGAACCCTGAAGTCTGATTTGGAATATTTTCTTTTTCTAGAAGGCTCTTTTGAAGTTCTAAGATTTTAGAAAACCATCGTGAAGTAATCGACTTATTCCACCTACGGTAGTATTTTAATTGTTTCATAGCATTTTTCAGAGCTTCTTGTGAACAGTTCTCTTTAAAAGTAAAATAAATAAATCAAGTGCTCATACTACATCCAAGATGTCATTGTTTGGGTCACTCCTAGGAGACATCGACGATGATCCGTTTTTTGGGTAATTCCTTTCTAATCTATTAATTTTGCTTTTAATTTAATTAGGCTACTTACTTAATTTCTAAATGTGAGACTCTTTAGGAAACATTTATTAAGTTAAGCATAGGTTTTTAACTGCATGGTTTAGAAGATAGGCCTACATCTAAGACCTAGAAAATTAGGCACAGGCCTTTAGTTGGTTAATTTAGATCTTCTTTAGGCTTATTATTTATAAGTCCTAAATTTTACTCTTGGTTGAATCTACAGCTAACCATCATGGACAGCCCCACCCTGAAGTAGGCTATCTTAAATACGGTAACTTAAATCTCAACTTAGGCCTACTAATAACTTATTACCTATAACTTAGGCTTATGGCAATTATTTAGTAGCCTATGTCTACATTAGGATTTGATATATATGTTTTAGATGTCTACTTACAGTTTTTGTTAAAGATTTAGGACCCAGACCCCAGTTTAAAAACACTTCCTGAAGTGTGAAATTGTGTAAAAAGTGTAAAAAATGAAGTTTTGGAGGATAGTAATTAGGGGAATATAGCAATTCCAGTCCCAAATATTGACTGGAATTTAATAAAACTGACCCTAACAACAGTTCCAAAACCTCAATAGACACCAATTTTAACCCTCCAACTGGTCATTAAAATTTCCCGTACTGGTAAGGTTTTTTTGACCACCGCGCAAGCATTTAGT